ATATAGTTTTTATTTGTTTAGAGAGAGAAGGAGGGAGGGAGGAAAAGAAGGAGAGAAACACTGATGTGTGAGAGATACATCAACTGGTTGCCTCTCACACACCCCAGCTGAGGACCCAGCCCGCAACCCAGGCATGTGCTGCAACTGGGAATCGAACCTACAGCCCTTCCGTTCTCTGGCCAGTGCTCAGTCCACTGAGTCACATCAGCCAGAGCCCACAGAGTTTTAATTTTAAAACTCAGGATGCTCTCACATTCTTCATCCAGACAGTAAACCCCTTAAGACAATTAGGAACAGAGTTTTCAATGGAAAAGAACCTTCCTACGTTTTCTATACTGTCAGGTTGTGTTTATGTGTGAATATATGGGTACGCGTGTGTGCACATATATGAATTCTTAACATACGACATTCACTTGGCTGATGCATTCTCTTTTGGACACAGTCTTCTGAAGGTTTTGTTCTCTGGTTTTTGATAGACTTGTCCTAATCCATCAGTAATCTCTTTTGTGATCTGAGCAGACGTTTACGTTTGCAACAGGGCGTCCTGCGGCTAGGGAGTCCTTTGTGCCGTGGCTGCACACAGTTGCTCAAATCCACGGTTTTCTCCCTTCGTCTGTATTCCAGCCACATGAGCTCAGCAACTGCAGGGCGACTGGCAGGTTGCTAATTCATTACACACATTCGGACGTGCAGAATCCAGGGCAGTTACAAGCTTCCTCACCTAATTCATTGATGAAAATAGAAAGCATCTTGGCCGTCTAATAAAAAAGAGGGGTCCTGGTATATATGTCTAGGTCCTTGTTTTATATTTGTGAAAATACTGCCTCGGCCTTGGAGAAATTGGTTCTCTTTTAGTTCAGTGAATCCGTATGCTCAGAATCCTAGCATAACTATTTGTAGGAGCAGGTTCCTTATCCAGAACAAATCCAAAAAGCTGAGAAAAAGTATAATATTGTAATCATAGAAAGCCTTTCTCAGGGGGCCCAGATATCTGCTTGGTGTCCTACTTAGATCTACCAGGACCAAGGGTTTTTGAGGTGCACGACTCCTGGAGACTGTGGTAACCCACGTGACTGAGCACCCTTGGAGATGGTTCGGGCACAGCACGCAGGCAGCCGATGCAGATGGTCCTCTGAGCAAGGAACAGGGGCTCTTAATATTTCTAGAGAATTTTTTAAAGATTAATCTTAGATTTTGAATGGGAAAGAATCTTATGAAACATAAGTTATTGTATAACATCATGTTAACTAAAATAGTCTTCTAAGGAGTTGATGTTTAGTGGGTAGGACAGAGAAAAGGAAGACCTCTTGGTGCTCTACAAATTCCAAACCGGTTGATGTTTTAATTTGCTTCAGTCAAAGAGCTGAGTTACCGGCTGAAGAATAACCTCATGTTAGCACAACATGGCATCTTTAAGGATCACGCTTCCAGTAATAGTAGCTAGTAACCGCCAAAATATTTCTGAAAAGAGAAAGTGCTTATTTTAACAACAAAAGCAGCAATTAAGAAATAATATTTGGTTCATTTCCAGGAAGGAAACATTTCATATTCAAAAGAAAAAAAAACATACCCTAGCTGTTTACCATCACTTCTGAAACTCGTTCAAACCACAGTCTGTTTCGTCTTTCCAGCCTTCGCCTGGTTTTAGATGAGGAATTTTCCCCCTTGGGAGCTAGAGAGGTTGATTACACCTCTGTCACTAGAATTGTGCAATGCCTTTAAATAGTTCTGAAGTCTGTTTTCCATTATCATGATGAATTTCACAATGCATTTCCAAATGTGCTTTTGTGTATTTTTATCCAAAACACTGTTCTCCAGTGTTGTAAATTCTTGATTACTCCAAAGGTTTTGGAGAGTAATCGTGTCAGATTGGTTCCTTTTTATGTATATTATTTTAAAATAAATGATAAAATCTGTAGACATAAGCTGCTGGCTGATATGGAAGGTTGTTTTTAATATACTTTTGGTACTATTCTATTCATAGAATTATCAAATGTCGGCATTGGAAATGTCACACACATCATTCACTGTAACTTCTGTGTTTTGTAGGAAAAGAAAACAAAGTCACTTGCTTGTGACCCCTGGCTTGTTAGTGGGAGAGCCAAGATCACAACTCAGTTGTCTTGACTCCAAGCCCAGTGGTCTTCTGCTTCACCCTGTTGTCGTTCTCTCGGACTGTGGTCCTCCCTCCACCTGACCACCCTCCATCTCCCAGCAGAACTTGTTTTCTCTTGCCCTCCTTCGACCGAGTGACTGCTGGCTCAGGCAATGGGTTCTTTATTTTATTTTCAGTCCATGAAATACACCTTTATTTCCAGAAGCCAGACACATCCTCGAATGTCTTTCTCTTCCCTCATATTTACCAATAGCTTGCTCAGATATGGAACTGGGGGTTCATGATTTTTTCCATGCAGCTGTATATATTTTTCCATTCTTTTCCCTGAAATTTGTTTTCGTACTGGAGAAATAAAATATGTGTTTTATTTCCCCATTTGTAAGTACCATGTTTTTCTTACCCAAATGCTTGTAACATTTTCTTATCCTGGGTCTGAATCACTCTTTATTAATTATGCCTGGAATTTGATGAGGTTTTTTGCTACTGTTGTTTTTGTTTGTTTATTTGTGTTTTTTATTTTTATGTTTTGCTCTAAAGCTTCAAGTAAGGAATACAAATTTGCACTGATCTAATAACTGTTGCTTCTCCTGACTCTGCTCAGTTACGTAGTTCTGGAGCTCTCTCGCTCTTTTTACTGTGTCCAAAGATGACTTGAATGTTGCTGCTATAATTTTTATTTTCTTTTTTGTTTCTGCATTTGTCTTAGTCATTTTCTCCTATAGCTGCTGATTTCTGTTTAAAGGAGACCACATTGTCTTTACAACTGTGCAACTTGTCTACTGAACTTTTTCTAGAAAAAATACTCAGTAGTATGAATAATTCCATAATAATTCAATGTTTAATAATATGCTATGAAGTAATATGAAGTAATGTTCCCTTTCTGCAAGTACTTTTCATATATCATTATAATTATTTTTTAAATGTTTCTCTCATTCTAACATAGTTATAGATCTATCAGATTCTGGAATAGTCTGCTAAAAATATCATGGGAAAATATTATCTTCTGTTTTGAAATAGAATCAAGAATTTCAGAAGCGTGTTTTTTTCCTGTTACATTATGTTGTGAATCTTGCCTTTCAGGAATGATCACTTATATTTTTAGCATGTTACAGTGGTTCACACAAGGACTTCTGTGTCCAAGAAACTTCAACTTGAGACCCAGCACCAGCGGCAGTAAAGAGCATGGTCTCTGGATCTAAATAGCCTGGGTTCAAATTCCCGCTCTGCCACTTACTCACTGTGTGACTTTGGCAGTGACTTAACCTCCTCGTGCCTTAGTTTTATAAAGTGGGCTCAGCATCATTAGTTACTTCATAGGTTCTTAAGAAGATTTAAAAAGTAATATTTATACAATATGTACCACAGTCTTTGGAACATAGTAAGTGCTGCCTAAATATTTGCTTTAAATTCTAACTTCAACTTTCCTCTTAATTTTGTTGTAAACCTTAAAAATAAATAAATAAATAAAGGCTTTCAACACATGAATAAGCCAGAGTTTATCTCCCCACAGGAGGCCTTGAAAGACAATAGGAAGAGGAAGTGTGCTACTATTTCAAAGTATTTGACTTGCTAATTAGGAAGAAGATAAATGTGATTTTGAATTTTTGCCGTAAAAATTCACCAATAAATCAGTGTTATGGTCTAAATAAAATTCTAGCTCTGTCTCTTACCAATTGAGTAGCTTTAGTCAAGTCATTACATCTCTTAAATATATATTTTTTAAATTTATTTATCTTTAGAGGGGAAAGGGAAGGAGAGAGGGAGAGAAATATCAATGTGTGGTTGCCTCTCGTGTGTCCCCTGCTGGGAACTGGCCTGCAACCCAGGCATGTGCCCTGACTGGGAACCGAACCGTGATACTCTGGTTCACAGGCCCACACTCAATCCACTGAGCTACAGCAGCCAGGGCTCATCACATCTCTTTAAGCCTCCATTTTCTCACCTTTAAAGTGGACATAATACAATTAATTTATTCAGAAATAACAATGAAAAATCATTAATATTATTAAAACAGTAAAGATTAACAGATAGTTTACATAAGATATCATGCCCATGACTTGGTGGTTACTGTTTTTAAATAATCAAATGCATGCTTGACTAGGCTACATTTAATTGGCTTAACTGAGCACTGCAAGTCTCTCAATTATTGAATTCTTAATTTTGGATGAGTTTACAGTTATATAACTAACTCCAGAGAGACTAAGTTACAGATTCAAAGTCACATTGTCATTGCAACAGGAGGCTATGAACCAAAGTCAGTTAGATCCTGCCTTTAATCTTTTTTTTCCCCTTGAGCCTGGGAGAAGCAGGGTCTTAGTTTTTTTTGCTTCAAAGAGCCTTACTGTTCAGTAGTTGAATTATTTTACTCAAGCCCTTTACTCTTACCTGTCCTTTGTCAAGTGCTCTGAACAGAAAGTTTGGGCTAAGTGCTTTTTGCATTTCTACAGTCATGTCCTGTTTTGGGAGGGGGTGCGGGGGTGCAGGAGGTGAAGCTACACAGGTTGGGGGGGTTGTGAGAGAATATGGGGCATACCATATTATGGAGATTTGTATATGCATCCAGTGTCATTCATTCCTTTCAGTCCCTTTGTATGCATTGCTATTTCGAGTTTTCCCACAAAGAAGCCCAGGCATAATACATAATAATGCTGTGTTGTGCTGTAATTATAACTAATTGTGGGACAGAAGAGGCCACTTCATAATCTGCAAATAACAAACTGCATCATTCTTTTTTAAAAGCTTGGTTTCTGCCCTTGCTTAAATTACATGATTTTTACTATGAAGTGCTGTTATTCAGTCCCCCCCCACCATAATGAGTCTCAAAACTGTTGTTAACTATCAGTTGATACAACACATAACATGGACTTCCCTGGCCTGCCCACAGCTTGCCCATCAGGGACGTACAAACCAGAAGGTGCACCAGGAGGCATCAGCACTTGCCTTCCGTGTCCTGATGAAAACCACACCTCTCCCCCCGGAAGTACATCCCCCGAAGACTGTGTCTGCAAGGAGGGCTATCGGGCATCCGGCCAGACCTGCGAAGGTGAGATTCCCCATGTGGGCCAACAGGAAACATACAAGTGGATCTCTTTGTGGGAAGTGATGCTGGTGTTTTCACCCAGTTCATTTTAAATGATCTCTACTGTTTTTCTCTCTAATTTGAGGAGGGGGGTGTCTTTCCTCTCATTAAGTAGCATTTCTTAGCACTGAACACAACTATATCTTGCTCCAGAGAACAGGGACCTGAGCCAGGAGTAATATAACTATGAAACCAGAAAGATTGACTACTTAGAAAAGATCTAAAATGACTCTAAGAGGAAAAAAAGCCAAACAATTAACAGCAAATTCAAATAACAAAAGAGCGAGTTTGGGCTCTAGTGATAGTTAAATCCATTTAAATAAAATATTGTTATAAGTAGTGTCTTAGTGTTATTCATATCATGATTTAAAGACATTGAATTGACCTATAACATGTATTCTACAAGAAGCCGTGGCTCTTAGGATTCGTGGCTCCAGGTGCTCTTTACTGGCCTTATTTGTTCTTTATTTCATGCCACCTTAATTAAGAAGGAAAATAGCTAATGACATAAAAAGGCCAAGAACTAGAAAATCTCATATCCAAATAGACATTAAAATAAATGTTTAAAGCATATGATAATATTTGTTTTTAAATTGTAAGTGAAAGAAATAACGAATAGAAGTGAGATGTCAGGGTTCTTCTTCCAAACATGCACTTAGAAATTCAAATGCAGTAAATGGGGATACTGTGGGTAATTTAGCCATGTATATATATAAGACATCCTTATAAACCAAAAACTGCTGGTGGGGGGAAGCTTCATAAACAAAGGCTAACTCCGTTTTTTAACTCTACTTTTACAACTGTTAGTTGTCCACTGCCCTGCCTTGAAGCCTCCAGAAAACGGTTACTTTATCCAAAACACTTGCCACAACCACTTCAATGCAGCCTGTGGGGTCCGATGTCACCCTGGATTTGACCTCGTGGGAAGCAGCATCTTCCTGTGCCAACCCAATGGTTTGTGGTCCGGTTCAGAGAGCGCCTGCAAAGGTATGCAAACTGCCAATTCACATTGTTTATTGATTGTCTTGCTTGAGTTCCTAACTTATACTCTAATGGGCCAGTAAGTTCTTGGCTTCTTTTGATTTCATAGACCACAGACCACAGAACGAGAAAAAAGTTACAGAGAGTTTGAAGTCAGAACTACTAAGTTCAATTGACCACATCATTATGAGCTATGCCCTTTATATTTCTTTTATGAACAAGCAAAGGAAGGGCCTGCCTGGGAAGGAAATGGAAAAAATTTTAATTGATTTTAGAGAGCGAGAAAGACACATCAATTTCTTGCTCCGCTTAGTTATGCATTCATTGGTTGCTGCTTGTATGTGCCCTGACCATAGATTGACCCCACAACCTTGGCATAGTGGGACGATGCTTTAACCAACAGAGCTACTTCTTTAGGGCGCCCAAATCCCAGCCAAGACTGGGTGCCAGGGGCAGTTTTGGGACAGTCAGAGCGAGGGCTCTGGTGGCTGCTGGGATGGCACAACTTGGGAAACCACGCCAGTGCCCCGCAGGAGGAGCAGTGAGCTACCATGCCCATCTCCAGCCTTCACATGGAACAGCGGCATGCTGGAGGAAGTGGGACTTGGTTAAAGCGAAATCTCAAAGAGCACAGTCAGGCCCATAGCAAAGGGGACAGTGCCTCTGGCAGACCTAAGGATCCACATCAAATACAGGGAGACAACAAACAGAAGGTGCCTCCTGTCACGTCCGCTCTCGCCGTCTCTGTGACCAACTTTCCTACCTCTTACAAGGGTTGCACAGGCAGCTTCCCAGGGTATCACAAGCAGGCTTGGAAGAGAAGGCTACGTGAGAATAGGTCAGAGGGGAGCAAGACAAAGGTCTTGGGATCTCTGTCCCTGCAGCGTCTGAGTACAGTATTCACCCCTGACTTAAGGTTGCCAGATAAAACACAGGACACCCAGTTACATAGGAATTTCAGATAAACAGCAAATAATTTTTCAGTATGAATCCCATACCAAATTTGAGACCTACTTATACTAAAAATTGTCTAATGATTTTTTACAAAATTCAAATGGAACTGGATATCCTGATTTGTTTGTGAGTTTTTGGTGGTTGTATTTTCTGAATCTGCCAACCTACCCTCACCGCATCTCTTTGGCGCCCTTTGGCAATACGCTTTGCTCCCAGACCGCCTATCTCTGAGATCGCTGGGTTAGGGTAAGGAGTTCCATCTGGTAGTCTTCTCCTGACTCTGGCACCCAAAAGGGAAGCCCACCTACTCACCACTGCAAGGTCATCCATGAAGCCCCAGGAGACCCCCGCTGTTTATATTTATCAGCCACAAATACTGAACCCATCTGTACATGCAAGTTTGCTTAAATCAGGGCCCAGTCCAGAGTCTCATTTATAGCTACAAAAAGACAAGGAAAAATGAAGAGAATCGGCAAGTTGAACAAAGGAGACCTGAAAGGAAGGGGGTGGGGATGGCAATGACATTACTAAAATAAGACCAGGATTCCAACATATGGGAGAAATCTGAGAGCAAATATACTTCTTAGGAAAAAAAGCAAAGGTTGCTGACACAATGAGTGGACATAGATGAGAGCCAAATTAAATTAGAAAATCAACTCACAGAATTCTGAAAACGGAGCAAAATTTCAAAGATCAAATATATAGATATAGATACGGATATAGATATAGATATAGATTAGATATGAAAGGCTAAAGAGGCATGAGAAGTCACAGGGAATGGGCTCTTCTCATACTAGGAGTCTAGACAGAGAGTGGAGTTTAAATGATACACCCATAATCTGAAATCTTGAAAATATGCACAACTAAAATCTTTGCCGTTCAGTTTAAAATCACCTGCTGTGTGCCAGGAAAAAAAATCTTAAAAACAGGTCTGTGTCTGAAAATAATCTTAGCGAAATTTCTGAATGCCCTGGAAGAATAAATAGAACATTTTGCTTGTCTCACAGTTAGAAGTAAATAACACTATCTACAAAAGAAAAACAGTTAAACTAGCCTGGAGCCCCTTATTAGCCACTTCACATATTAGAGGATAAAAGTATGTTTCCAGGATTCTGAAAGAAAAGCATTAGACTATGGAGTTTTAAACTCAGACAAGCTCCTCTTTACGTGGAAAGGCAAAGGGGAGGCATTTTCAGTCGCATGACCTCAAATGGTAAAAAGTCACATCCCATTACTGAAACAATTACATCAACAATAAAAATAAAGGGGAAAAACAACCTCTTAGAAATGTACCTAGTTGATAGTGTTGTAATAACCAGGTATGGTGCCAGGTGGGTACTGGGAATACCAGAGGGAACGATTTGTCTGGGATTGTCTGGCCACTATGCTGCATAGATGAAGCCAGTTCAAAAACAGTGTTGAATGTAAACTATAATTGGAAAAGAAAAAGAAATTTAAATTTAAAAGAAATGTTCCTGTAAAGTCAGCACTTAAAGTTTCTACCCCTACCCCCTGACCAGTGTGGCTCAGTTGGTTGCGTGCTGTTCCACAAAGTACAAGGTCAACGGTTCAGTTCCTAGTCAGGGCACATGCCTGGGTTGCGGATTTGGTCCCCTGTTGGGGCACGTATTAGAGGCAACCAATTGATGTTTCTCTCTCACTTCGATCTCTTTCTCCCTCTTTCTCCCTTCCTTCCCCTCTCTCTAAAATAACATAAAATAAAATAAAATAAAATAAAATAAAATAAAATAAAATAAAATAAAATAAAATAAAATAATCATAACATAAATAAAATAAAATAAAATAAAATAAAGTAAAATAAAATAAAATTATCATAACATAAATAAAATAAAATAAAATAAAATAAAATTATCATAACATAAATAAAATAAAATAAAATAAAATAAAATAAAATTATCATAACATAAATAAAATAAAATAAAATAAAATAAAATAAAATAAAATAAAATAAAATAATAAATAAAATAAAATCTTCAAAACCTCTACCCTTTCTCCCAAAGACTCCGTGGTAGAGGGTGGAAAGCATTGTATTTTAGCTTCCCACTTACTGGCCTTCCAAAGAGAGTAGAAAAGCAGGCAGACAACCCCCATAGAACAAGGACTGGCCTTGCCTCTTACCCTCCACAGTCCACATCCTGAGCCCGGCGTCCTACAGAAGAAATGGATGCGCCCTCTTAGGAAGGCATCCCTTTGTTGCGACAGCCTTGATTGTTCAATCAGCCTGCCTTTGCTCTTGGTCCCTATAGACAAGCCCTCCCAGTTGCCAGCATCCTCAGCTTGGCAGGATGGCATTTAACCTCTGTACGTGCATCCGCAGACCTGTCTTCTGCTTGTTCTAGCCCTGCGCCCCGTGTGTCAGGGAAGTACAGGAAACACATCATGCATGTTAGGGGAAAAGGAACCGATTTTAGGAACCAGGCCGTATACAACTTTGGAAAGGTCTGGAAAATGGAAGTCCCAGAAGAGAAGTCGGAGTATCAGAGAAGTTAACTGCCAAACTCAGAAGTTCACTGAGAAACCAAGCCTGCCCGACTAATGACATAGAACCACAAGGGAGGGACCTGTTGGGGAGTCTAAGAGAAGCTTCACCTCTGTGTGACCACATCCTGATGCTCTACAGCCAAGAATGAGGCCGTGAGCCTGGGGCCACCTTTGGTTAGCGCTCAGCAGTCAAAATGTAGGGTGGAGGCGAGTGAAGACAAGCTTCGGGCCCACTGGACACATCTGCCTTTGTCCGTCATTGACTCCAGATACAATGGCTCTGTTTTCCTTCCGCCGTCCAAATCTAGTGCAAGCTCTTCATTTGACCAACCCTAACCTGGTCCACCCAAGCAGATTCTGACAAGGTGTTTCCCAGCTGAGCCAACCTGTGACACTAAGGACCACCACACTTACTTTTATTACTTGCCTTGTCTATCACCTCTGCTCTGAGTTCATTACGGGCACAGAATGCATTTTTCCCCTTCAGTGCTTGCTTATATAACCTCTGGTGAATAACCAGAAACTTGAAGAAATACATGTTACTAATGTCAACATAAGAAACATTCAAACCTGTAGAGAAATTTTGTGAGTTTATTTAAGCCAAAGCAATAACAATTACCTGGAAGCCAAATCTTAATACATTGAAAAATGCTTGGAAGGTCTCCAGTCTGGTGGGAGATGATGCCCCCAGGGGTCCAGGAAAGAAGGGAATGATCTTGACATTCCACAGGTATGTCATCTTAGATGCAAAAAGACAACAGACAGGCTCAGTCAAGGTAAGGACTGACTTTTGTTCGGGGAAGATACCAGCCTAGGATGTGTCTGCCTGCCATGAACTGCTTTTAGTTTTCATTTCAGACCATCCTTTGTGGTTATTTTGGGTCTCTCAGTTTGTAAGACCACCATGTAGGCCCTCCCCTAAGCTTGTCAGGTTAATATTTGGCCCCTTTCCCCATAGATCTTCCTCGGATCCCTTCAATTTCACCCCTGCAAAGCAACTACCTAACTTACCATGTACAGAGTTATCCTAATGAAGATACTTCTGTATTCAGATTCTTCCTCTGGCTCCTCATGAATGGGTTTAGTTAGTTGAGGTATTGTTCTGTTAAACACATACCGTAATTCATTAATTCTAAAACACTTCCCCCCTACATTTCAATATCTCTGAAACTGAGATGCACCTTAATACCAATGGCATTACATTTTTTATAGATGTTATTAAAATATTTCTGTATTAGTGGCACATAAAATTGCGTGCCTTACAATTGGGGCATCTGGAATCATATGAAAACTGACGATTGTGTAGGGATTCACTTCTGTTCCAGGATGAGTATTTTGGAGTGATATTTTACAGATCTAATTTAAATCTAATTATGAGGACAGAGAGTAATTTTAGTTTATTTTTTTTCTTGAAAACCTTTTTAAAAATTGAGGCCAGCCCTGGCTGGTGTAGCTCAGTGGATTGAGCACGGGCCTGCGAACCAGAGTACTGCAGTTCGATTCCCAGTCAGGGCGCATGCCCGGGTTGCAGGCCAGTTCCCAGCAGGGGACACATGAGAGGCAACCATACATTGATGTTTCTCTCCCTCTCTCCTTCCCTTCCCTTCTAAAGATAAATAAATAAATAAATAAATAAATAAATAAATAAATCTTTTTAAAAAATTGAGGCCAAAATGAAAGACCAATGTAAAATATGAGTTTTTATGAATTTAATGTTACATCATTAATGTTTTATAGTGTTACATATTAATTAATGGGCTTGATTCTTATTCCTCCTGTGCACTCTTCATTAGAATTTACACTCTTTTTATAAAATGAATTATGCATTTCTTTACGAACTGTCAAAGATTCCTTTGTGGTTTCTCAATAGTAACTAGATACACTACAACATCCCAGTATGTAAAATGTTGTGATAGTATTTGTTCTGAGAAAAAGGGTGAAACAACAATGACAAGCCTATATTTAACATCATATTTGTTTTATTTTGAGTATAGATTCTGCCAGAATCTTGAGATTAATAATGTATATCAAGGGAAAATCTTAATTAGTCTTTAAAATTAAAAAAAGGTCAGGTTCTTACATTGTCTACAACAGAGTAGACTGTTCTCTAAAAGCCTAAATTGCTGTTTTCTAAGAAGAATAAATAAATTTTTAAGGATTGCTTTAACATGAATGCAAGGCAAGAAACATTTATTGCAGAGGTTTTTAGCTTGTTGCAATACAAAATGTGTAAGTGGAACCTAAAAAATGAGCATGTTCTTATTAAAAATGATAATAAATAGTCATTCTTGATTGAAAAGGAATGTAAAATGTTTAAGACTAGGTAGGAATTATTACAGCCTTTGTTTGCCCCGAGGAACAATGAAAAGCTATTCACACCAACACTTGAGAAGCAGTACGATTTGCGTGTTGTGGAGTCTCCAGCTCCGATCTACGGCCTGTGCGTGGGCAGACTTTATGGATCCAACTTTCTCAGGTCGAAAGCCAGAGTGATTTAAGCAGTAGTATTGACTCTAAAAGCAGGTGTTTAATATGGTTTTTTAGATTTGATACATTTTTATCATAGGAATTTATTTTATTCATCTTTTAAAAAAAGATTTTATTTATTTATTTTTAGAGAGGGGAAAAGAGGGAGAAAAAGAAGGAGAGAAACATTAATGTGTGGTTGCCTCTCATGCACCCCCCACTGGGGACCTGGCCCACAACCCAGGCATGTGCTTGAGACTGAGAATCAAACCAGTAACCCTTTGGGTCACAGGCCAGCACTCAGTCCACTAAGCCACACCAGCCAGGGCTTGTATTTATCTTTTAATCCCACCTGGCACCTGGCACTGTGCTATACATGGTGGACATACTCAGTGGTAGTTAAAATGTGGAAGGCAAAAGATTTCTACACCCTTGATGTACACATTCAATAACATTTCTTATATGAGGGACACAATAAAAATCAAGTGTGGAAGGCAAAAGATTTCTCCTCTGTTGTCATTAAGAGCTGACTTTGTTTCAAACCACCCAGGGATTGAAAAGCTAGGGTTTATGGCCTCACCTTTCATCTAATTCTTGAATTTTCTATAGTGAGTAATCAATCCTAAACATATATTTAATGCAGCTAGTATTTATGCTCTGCTGACTAATAGCACTTGAATTGGTTCCTTCACAATAGATTCTATCAAGCAGTGGCTTTGGTTGAACATGCACTGAATATTTGCCCCAACTTCCTTTCCTGTTATTTTAAAGGTGAATTTGTATTATAAATAAACATGAGCTTGATGTTAAAAACTGGCAGATGCAGAAAACAAGAAGAAAAATACATCTTACTTGGGGTCCCAATAAAATTCTTGAGTCCAGATGATTTTGTTCAGAATGTTCGGAGATTGCTCTGTTGTCTTCCGGCTCCAGTGTTGCAATACTTCTGCCTAAGAGAGGATGCACTGCTTTGTTCTTTTGTAGGGGCTGTTCTTGGATTTGGTATAATGTGTGATGCTTGTAGGATCATACCTGTAAGCCATTAAAATGATTATATGCACCCACCCTTTGGCCTATTTAATGGGAATCCACCCTTTTCCTCTCTATGTCTCTGTTTATGATGGAGTCATGCACCATCTGACTGAGAGGGTGCATTTCCATGGGTCTGTGCTACCCTCGCCTTCTCCTTTCCCCTTCTGCTAATTTACCTTCCCCTCCCTACGCCTAGACTTCTGCATCCTTCCCATCTTCTCCCTGTTCTCTCCTTTCTTTCTCTTCCTCTATTCCACCTACCTTTTCCCTTTTCCCACCTTTTTTCTTCACCTTCTTCTTCCCTCTCTTTATTCTTTCCCATTTCTTTCTCCTTCCCCTGATTGGAAATCCTGATTGGAGCAGGTCTAATCTAGAACTAATGGGAAAGAAGTGTAGAATGGGTATAAACTCTTTAGAAATGATTTTATCCTTTAAAAAAAGAGCACACAATAGTTCAAAGACCCCAGTAAAGTACAGAAATTGGTAGAGTTGAGGCTTCTAAGGGACTGATCTGGGAAGATGGGAAGCTGCTGTCAGAGAGTCGGATACTTGGATTGGTGATGGTGAAGTCTAGTGGGCAAGGCAACAGAGACGAGGCTGAGATCAGGTAAAGGATGTGGCCATTGGAAAAAGGGAAGTGAAAAATATGACTCAAGGATATTTCAATAATCATCTGTATAGATAATGGAATCACCAACGTGTGTGTGTGTGTGTGTGTAGAGAGAGAGAGAATGAATGAGAAAAAGAATGAAATCTCCAAAGAATGAGAAGTGGCCCAGAGGTCAGCAGACAGTGGTGGGGGAAAAGGATGTTGGATATACAATGTGGTGATACTCTGAGGGAGCTGGAGGTTTTTAGGAAGAAGGGAAAGAAAATGGTCTGGGACGGCAATAAAGGGTAAAGACGATACCACTCTTGGCTCTAGACCCTGACTGTAAGAGATAATATTCTGATTAGGATACAAAAGTGAAAGAAGAGTTCAAAAGGGAAGTTTAGGATGTGAGGGGATTTACAGGACACTGGTCTTGTGTGTATTCTGGAGGACAAATGGAAGAGTTTGTGAGTTAGACTTGAATCAGGGCTGCATGGGGATGACCCTGGTATATGAGGGCTAACTTTGGAGCCTTGGGCTTCTTGAGAGATTGTCATGAACAGAAATACAGGGTATCGTGGAAGTAACTGATATGGACTCTAAGACACATTATGGAATGTTGGTGGGCTGGATGGTGAGGGAATCTTGCCAGGAGAGTTCAGAGCACAGAATCATTTGGGAACCTCAGAAACAGGAGCAGTCTGAGTGTTCTCTTGTAGCTTCTCTGTTGTACTGTTGGGGATAGAAAGTTAGAAGTAGCAACTCTGGGAAGATACAGGTTCCTCCGGACACTCCATGGCACTTCCACACTGGTGGTATTGAGGCTGACTGACCTGTAGAGGCATTTCCAGCACCCAGGGCTTAGTATAGACCCTTCTGGCTGCTCTCTCATGGTGGTTTCAGAGCTGGCAGAGAAAGGAACTGTGTCACCAGTTGTACCTGCTCACTTCTCAGACCAGGGTCATGGGATCACATGCTCTGCGTCACGTGCTGTAACCTTGAGCATGGCTGGAGCATGTACAAACCCCATGAGCAGAAAGAAGAGAGAGACCTTGCCCTAGGGAATTAACAAAGGAAAGGTGAATGGATGCTGGGAAGAAGGAATTAGGAATTGTGTGTAGCTGCTGGTGTCAGAGTGGCAAATAACAATGCCGTAAGCCAACTGACTTTTCTCTCATCTAAAATAAGAGAAGTAGAAAAGCCAAAGCTGATGAGATAATGCCCAAGATAATGCTTGGGTCTCATCAGAGACCCAAGCTTCTTTTACTTATTTATTTGTTTGTTTGTTCTACCATTGAAGAGCACAATACTTATTCCATAGTGTCTTATACTTATACTATATAATATGCTGGGGTACTATTTCTCATGACCTAATTTCAGGACAAAGAAGGAGAAGGAAAAGGAAGGCACAAAAGTACCTACTCAGTGGAGACAGTCCCCTCTGAATAGCTTTTCCAGAAGTCTCACACAACCTCAGCTTATATCTCATTGGCTGTCATTCCTTGCCACGGAGGTGGGAAATTATTATCTTCTCACTGTGAATATAATTATGCTGAATGATTTTTGGGTGGACAAGTAGCATTCTTTGCCACAGAAGCAAAAAACAAAGAAAAGGATGTTAATGCTTCAGTCATGGTCAGGGTCATGAACTAGGATTTACGGTGAGTGTCCGGGAATAGAGGAGTGAAGAGGCTGAAAGGAGAAGAATTGCGGTCGGAGAGTAGAATACTGGCATTTAAGATGGCAGAGGCTGGGAGGCTTTGCAGAGGCTGCGATCACTAAAAGGCCCAGGACATGCCGATGAGATGTGAGAATCGTGTTGCTCGTGAACCCGAAATCTCTGTCCCCTTCCTTTTGCTGGAATAGAGCCTGGAAAACCACAGCAGAGGCCCAGCTGAGGGCTGCAGGTACCTCCTTTGTCAACACCCGCCTTGGATAAGCCATACTCCTTAGAGACAGTTTAAGTTTCCCACCCATGGGCTGAACACAGCCATACTGCGTGGGTAACGTGTTGGTAAAACACAGGCTTTAAATTGCCTAACACTAACTCAGAAAATAATGGTATGTTATTTACTGTTTGCCATTGTAAGAGAAGGGCCTTTCCTTGCTTGTACTGTGCCAGCATTTTTTAACTTACTACTGTTATTTTTCTACTTACTCATTAAAATGCAATCTAATCATTTTCATTTTATATAGTAAGAACATGTCCTCGTCTCCGCCAACCCAGACATGGCCACCTCAGCTGTTCCACGGGGGAAATGTCCTACAGGACCACGTGTTTGGTTACCTGTGATGAAGGGTACCGACTGGAAGGAAGTGCTAAGCTTACCTGCCAAGGAAACGCCCAGTGGGACAGCGTAGAGCCCCGCTGTGTGGGTAAGCCTCAGAAAGCTTCCATTTCTCTCCAATTTCCTCTGTGTTCTGTGAGGACCTAAAGCTAAGAATTGACTCATAGTGACTGTAAAATCAAAACCACACATACAGATTCACAGAGATATAGGCATGTAAATAAATATGTTGTTTTATTCCCCTCCACTGGTAATAAGACTTCTACTCCAGATTCCAATTTCCCAAATCACTGAGATTTCCAGCTTTACATGTTAAAACCTTTTTTTTTAATTGGGACCAATTTTGGTGGATTTTTCAAAAGTGCAAATGTTGTATAATGCCTTCACTTTTTTCAACACAATTTACTTTTACCTTGTTGTTCAAAGGACAGAATTATGAACCAGTGAGTCTTAAGCTAGACCGTAAAATCTGCTTCATCATGTTTTCTGCCTTGTCTTTCACTGAGAGTTGTGACATCTCACTACTGAATTTGGGTCCGGAGTGAATAAATTCAGTAGCTCTTTCACTTTTCTGCTTTGTTACACTACAGATAAAATAACAATCAGCAGTTGTAATAATGGTAATGATGAGATGGTGATAGCTACAACTTAGTGAAACTTTACTAGGTGTCAGATACGGTATAACTAGGGGAACTGACAGGTATGTACTGAACACCCAACTTCCAAAAGATGGAGAAGATGAAGAACTACATGGATGGGCTAAATTGAGAAGTTCCAGGACCTAAGATGGGAAAACTAGATACTATGAGCATTCCAGTTCCTCCCAGATTGATGTGCAGCTTTATTCTGCTATGATCTAGTGTTGGATTCATGGGCGATCACAAGGGAGTGTGCATCCCTCCAGCAGGGATGTTGGGCATACTTGGGGTTTCATTAACCGTCCAAGAGTCCACCCTCACTGCGCAGGCTCAGAAACACTGCTATAATACCGAGAAGAAGCTAGTCTCTCTGATACAGAAGAACAAAAGGTACTATTAAACAAAGATCCAGTTCATTAACAATGACATACTGACTACTGTGAGAACTGCGAGACGTTGGCCTGACAAGCATTGTCAGTACTTTTGTTGGGTAAAGAAAATGTGTGGCATTTGCAACTTGTGAGGACGCAAATAACGTTCTGTCATTTCCCTACCATAGAGCGCCAGTGCCCCACCTTTCAGAAGCCCAGAGATGTCGTCATTTCTCCCCCAAACTGTGGCAGGCAGCCAGCCAAACCTGGGACAATTTGTCAGCTAAGTTGCCCCCAAGGATTCATTTTATCTGGAGTCAAAGAAGAAGTGAGATGTGCCACCTCTGGAAAATGGAACGCCAGAGTTCAAACAGCTGTTTGTAAAGGTAGGTCCCCTGGGTTAGTCAGATGAAAAACCAAATTCCTACATGATGACGTATTGGTGCATTGTGGGACTGTCCTTCTTTGCCACTTTTTCTGCAAATTCATGATAAAATGAAGGTGTTACCTCATTATACACTATGAGGATTCCTATTTCAAAATGATGGGTTTACAAAATCCAACTGCAATATGCCAGGCAAGGACAGAAGACATTGGATAATATTGGAGCTGAAAATCAGCTAAGTATTAAATAATTTTCCAGAAAAAGAAGAGAAATTGCACAAAAGAAACAAGAATCAGGCTCACATTTTACTTCTCTTCTACCACTCTAAATGGCAGAGGGAAATGAAGCTGTGTCCAAAGAATATGGAGAGAGAGTGGATATAAACTTTAAATTCCCAGTCCAGTAAGCTGTTATTCAAATGCAAATGAAAAATCAAATATTTTTTCAAATTTTCAGAGTCAATATACCAATGCAACTTTGTGGGGGGAATTCGTCAAGTATAAACCCCTCAGAGAAAATGAAAACACAAATTGAATAAAGTTGTAAAGAAACAAGAAAATGAATTAAATCAATTCAGACATACATATTTCACTGCAAGTTACAAAAGACCTAATTTAATGTGACTTAAAATGAGGAAGTTTATTATGTAAGAAGAACTTAACTCTACAATAATTACTGTGATATGTGTGATTTTGCCACTACTAATTCAGTGTTTCTACTGTAGAGTTTTGCAGTAAAAAAATATCATTGACTTAAATTTGTTTGTTTTGACAGTATCTTTTTTTGACAGTATCTTTTTACACTACTAATTCATTCTAGTTGACAGCCCTTGTCTTAAAGTGTAGTTCCATCCTGCCAGAAAACATTCAGATTTTTTCTGTTTATTTACTTATTTCATTCAAAAACTATTTATCCAGGTCCTATTATATGTCAGATATTATATAACACCATGGGACAAAAGATACCCTGACATTCAAAGAAGTTAAATTCTTTCAGGGGGAGACAATTCAGTTTCAAAATGGCCTGTTGAGTTTTATGCTTAGGAAGGACAGAGTAGCGGGCACCTGTTGAGTGAGCACCTACAATGGACCGGGGGCATCAGAGAGAGCTTCCTGACAAGCTTGTGTTTAAGCTGAGAACTGAAGGACAAGTAGTAGTTAAACAGGTAAAGGGGGAACAGGGCATCGATTCAGGCAAATGAAGGAACATAAGCAGAGGGTGAAGAACGACCATGGATCTTTCATGCAACTGAAAGCACCCAGCACAGAGATCCCAGTAGGGGATGTGGAGAGGCGAGGCTGAGGTGGGCAGGTGGCAGTTCATCGAGACCCTGGGAAGCCAGGTACACATGGATCACCCCGAAGGCAGCTGTGCATCCCAGTCAGCCAGGAGCGGAGATGGGAAAGTTGAGTCACAGAGCATTAATGTAGTTGTATCTCATTCTTCAATGACGTAGAACTAATGATCGACCTATTAATCGATCTGTGTGTTTTCCGAGTCAGACGTGGAGGCTCCCCGGATCACCTGCCCTAAGGACATAGAGGCCAAGACTCAGGAACAGCAAGACTCTGCCAACATCACCTGGCAAATCCCAACGGCTGAAGACAACTCCGGGGAAAAGGTAAGATTTATGCGAATATTTGTGTCCTTTTTCAAATGGATTCTAAATATGCTATAAATGTGTTTGATATTGATGACTTACTAATACTCTGAGGATAGCATTCTCTCTCTCTACACTCTACTGATCCATATTTGATAGAAGAATGATGGGCTGTGAGCTTTTCATTAAAAATTGTAAAGTACAATGGAAAAGACAAATGTATTTGGCTACAAAAGTATTTTTTTTAATTTCTAAATTAAAAGACACAGCAAGTTGGAAGAAAATGCTTCAAATTTGTCTAAAGTTACAATACTTATTACATAATATATTAATACAAATTTATTTTTATCACATGATTTTCAAATGGACTAAGGAGGAAAACATATGATGTAAAAAGAAGGAATGTATATCCTACAAACATATGGGAATTTAATCTTAATGTAAGACATTAAAAAACTACAAATTAGAACAACGACCTGGCTACAGTTTTGTTTTTTGTTTGTTTTTGGTTTGGGGTTTTTTTTTAGATTTTTATTTATTTATCTTTAGAGAGGAAGGGAAGGAGAGAGGGAGAGAAATATCAATGTATGGTTGCCTCTTGTGTGTCCCCTGCTGGGAACTGGCCTGCAACCCGGGCATGTGCCCTGACTGGGAATCGAACCGCGATGGTGTGGTTCGGAGGCCCGTACTCAATCCACTGAGCTATACCATCCAGGGCTGGTTACACAGTTTTGACTTACAAAATGGGTAATAGTTAAAATAGATTAGGGAACCCTGATACTGCCACTACCAGATATTGACAATGGGAATGCAAATTAGTGCCATGCTTTGGGAAAGAAATTTTGTGTTACCTGCAATAAAGTGTTAATGACCTTGAGGTTAGTGATTCTGTTTATGAAAATTTATTATAAGGACATAATAAAAGTATTTTGAACTTTTCTGTGTAAAACTGTTCATCCCAGTGCTATTTCCAATAGTAAAATACGGGACCCATTCAAATGTCTTTCAACAGGTTTTCCTTCAACTATCATATGTTTATTCTCAGGAACAGTATAGATGCAATGAAGAGTCATCTTAAGTTCTAAACACTGTGTAATAACATAAAAAAGTGGTTTAAGATATTTATGTTTAAAAAACAAGGAACAGCATTTCAGACTGCGCTAATGCTATAAACTATGCAAATAGAATGGTCTGGAAAGAAATACACCAAAAGACTGTGCCAGATTTTTTTTCCTTTTTTGCTATGTGTGAAATACTGTGTCATTTTTAACTTTACTAGTAGTATATAAATCAAAACAAAATAAACACACTATTGGCATTAAGTTTAACTTTCAGAGTATTCTTTTACTCCCTCAGGTGTCCGTCCACGTGCATCCAGCTTTTACCCCACCGTACCTTTTCCCAATTGGAGATGTCGCTGTCACGTACACGGCAATGGACTTATCCGGCAACCAGGCCAGCTGCACCTTCCATGTCAGAGTCATTGGTAAGTCTTCACACTGCCTGGGTTGGTTGGTGGAAATAATCCTGTTCCTTAAGGACTTTGCTTCTCTGTCTTCAGCAGTTCCCTTCCTACTGATTATTCCTATTGGCACTGAAACCTAGTCAAGCCACCCCTTGGAAACCCACATACTCTTTAACTGTCACAACTTCCCTTTGAGTTTCTCCCATATGAGCCTTTTGAAAAGTTCCCAATGGTTGTCATCTCTTTTGGTTTAACTCATTTGTTCTCCAAGTCATTCAAATCTGGCTTCTGTAGGGGACTGGTTTGTCTCGGCCTGGCAAATGTGACTCAGCTCTGTATGGAAAACCTGCAGATGCGAAGTGGTGGGCAGGAGCCAGACCTTCAAACTGAGTTTTCCTTTGGGAATCAGGCCTAGAAAATGCATACAGACTGTCATGGCTCGCTCTTGCTAAAACTCCATCACCCTGGTCTAAAAAGCAACAAATGTGTATTGTCTATCTTCAATGTAATTTCCAAAGCCTGTGTGAGTTCTCCCAAGGACAGAGCTAATGAGCTCATCGCCATTCCCCTCTGCATGTTATTTTCATTTTCTTGATTGTACCTAAAATATAGACAATGATATTCTATGTAATAGATAATAAATCCTGCTTTAATGTAAGATCCAATAAAAACAATAAAAGCTTTTCTAGGCAAGGATCGGGGCGCTCTCCTCTTGAGAGAGTGGCCATGCTGTCCCCTTTTTCTCCACGGGGTTGCTGTAGCCTGTGCATTTGTTCTCTTCTGTCACAACAGGCAGACTCTGCTGACCAGAGCTGGCCACAGCTTCTGTCCGCTTTGATCATATGAACTATTTTCACCAAGGTCACCAACAATCTCTAGAGTTACTCCTTCTGCATTGCATGCTTTTTAGTCCTTATTGTATAGTAATGTTTCCTTAGAGTTTGCATTATCAGCTATACTCTCCTTCTCAAAACCGTCTTCTTCCAGGTTCCCTGACACCAGTCTTTCCTGTTTTTCCCCAGTTCTTCGCATTTATCCTTCTTTACTGCTTTCCCAGGTTTCTCTTCCCCAGCACAACTCTCCAATGTGGATCAGCCCTCGGGTTCCCACCTCATTTCTCCTCTCTTTCACTTTATGGCTTTCCTGGTGATTTCGTTAACTGTCAGGCTCCAGATTTCCATCTCCAGATCAGATCTCTCTTCTGAAGTTCAAATCAATACATAAAACCATCTACTGAGCTTTTTCTGTGTGAATGTGCCACAAGCATTTCCCATTCACCCAAGCATAATGTAGTTCTAAACTGAGAAAATTGTATCACCAACTACCTAGCCACCAAGCAGAAATCTGGGAGTTGCCTTTGACTCTTCTTCCTCCATCACCAACATCCAGTAAGTTTCATCTACTGGTTTCATCAACTTATTGTCTCTGAAGTCTGTTCCAGTCTCTCTACCCTCCCAACCACTACTGTAGATCAGTCCTTTTTTTACTTTTTTATTTTTGCCCTGGCTTACTGTATCATCACCCAATTGATCTTTGTGCTGTCAGTCAAATCAGTAGATATCCAGTAGCTACCAGGTAGTAAGACTATTTAATACATGGAGGAACAGGCTATGCAGCCATCTGCCATGGTCAAGAGCACAGACTTTGAACCCAAACTGCTCGAGTCCAGCACTACCACTTATAGGCAACATGACCAGTCACCTCTCTGTGCCTCAGGTTCCTTATCCAAAAAATAGAGTTAAGAAATACATTATCCCACAGGGGCTATTGTGAGGTTTTTATTTAGTTAAGCTAAATACATATAACCCTTGAATTAGTGCCTGGCACATTAAGCTCTATATAAATATTGACATTTTGTGACATTTGTCTCTGAGATATTTTAATGTGTTTATTTTAAAATTCAATACATTAAATTTACTTTAAGAATTCTACATAAATTCTTAAGATAACTAATACATATTTAAGTGGATGCTTACTCTAGAAATTACAGTTTTTTGGCAAAAGTAAAATAAAAAGAGTCAAGTAGAACCCAGTGTAATTCATTTCCTAGTACTTAAAGTTTTCTGTTGCTTCTTAATGTTTTAAACATGAACTTTACCAGTCACATCAAAAATATTTTAGATTTGTTTTTTGTGGAAATGTGGTTCAAGAGTTTGCCAAGTTTTAATGTTTCACAACGTAGAGTAAGCCTGGAGCGTGATAAAATGTGTACTCCAGTGTCTAGCTACACACTCGCTGAATTGTCAAATTATGCAAGAGAGAGAGAGAAAATGGGAAGGAAGAGGAAGCAGGAGAAAGAGAGGGAGAGGAGTCGGGCAGGGGGATAGAAAGACAGATGGAGAGAAAATATTCCAAAGCCCGCATTTCCTTGTTTTCCTCAGATGACAGAGGGTTGGTGTCTTACTGAGAAATGAGAGGAAGCAGGAATTGCTTGTGCTAAGCATTCCACAGAATGTTGCCTCGCTTGCTTTGAGATGGACTGTCTCTGTCTCTCTCTTGGAGACGGTACATCTGCTGGTACCTCCACTTCTTTTGACAGTTATTTTACTTACTCTGACTGCTAGCACTCATGTACCTGTGATTCAACTTTAAAATTTTGGGCTAAAATCAGATAAGTTTAGAAACTCTTGAAAATATGTGTATACAATTTCTTTGGGAAAATAAAAAATACCACCAGACTTTTCTATTTGACTATGAACTGATTCAATTCAACGACCTCAAAGTGCGTTGACCTCCTATGAGCGTTCCTTGATGCTTCTGTTCATTCAACAACGTTTTCTGAGCACCGATTATGGGCCAAGTTCTGTGGAGACCTAACCATGTGCAAAAGAGACTCCATCTCTGGTCAACAACGTGACAGACTAGAAAGGTCATAACCCAGAAAGAAGTACAGCACTCATGAAATGACAAGCATGAAGAAAAGAGAAAAACTGAGCATTTATTCATAAGACTTAAAATAGAAATCTATATATTCACACAGGTACAGCTTATTTAATTTCAGAGTGTCTTCATATATTATAGATTAAAATACCCTAGACTCAATGCCTGTAAGTATAATTTACTAGTTTAATCGCCACAAGCAAGTCCTTTAAATTTGCTTGCCTGAGATTCCTCACCTAGAAAATTGGAAAAATAATGTGTCCAGTCTCCCTCAAAGGCCTGTGATTATGGATATAAGAACATCTCAAATGTGTAAAATCTACAATTACATTAAAATTACCTTCTATACCTCTTCTTCATTGTTCTTTCCTGATATCTTAAAAATTCTCCCACACCCAATCAGAGCTTTGAAACCTGGCTCACCTCTGCCACCTCACACCCTTCTTCCATGTGGATTACAATCAGCAACACCAACACCCAATTCTTTAACTTCTGTGACTTTTGGCCCTTTTGCACCGTAGACCCTGAGTCCCATGTCCACACTGTACCCTGTCTTTTGTCATTACCTAGAATTTATCAGTCTTACAGCTCTTAGACTCCAGCGTCCCAGCCTTGGACATAACCTCCTGGCATTTCGGCAATATCAAGTCCTCACATCTCACGTATCCTATGTCATGGCTCAGACCTCTGCCCATTGTTTCTTCCGTGCAACCTATCTTGACCCTTCCAGTAAGAGGAGGATCATGGGAGTGATCCCAGCACAATGACTAGATTGGTCATTTCTCTCCTCCTGCTTGTCTGGGAAGGTTCTCCTCACTTCAGGTATATCAGCTCAGCCACTGCTGGTGGAACTCACATAAAATGCCCACCACATCCGTGTTACCTTTTATGCCACTATGGGCACGATGGTTTTAGTGACCTGGTATTTCTTCTTTAAAAGGCAGAGGACAGTGTGCAAGAATCAGCTTTTTCTTTTGATGTTGAGACCAAGGGGTAAAACGTGCCTCATCGGGAAGGGGCCCCAGGGGCAGCCTCGTGTCCAGCAAGGTCAGGGGGTTTTGCCAGCACAAGTGGACATCAGTTCTGTCTTGCAACCCCCTCATCATTTGTAATGTCAATTGTGACTTCTTCCTCCGACTTCACCTTCTTCAGATGTAGAGCCGCCGAGCATAGACAGGTGCAGATCCCCGCCCCCGGCCCAGGGCTCCGAGAGGCAGCACGCGGCCACCTGGGACGAGCCTCAGTTCTCAGACAACTCAGGTGAGGACGCTGGCCTTCTCTTCTCACTACGGTGACCCCGAGTAATATTTTATTTTAAAAAGCACAAAAGCGGAATGAAAAGTAAATTCTATCTGTCTGCTTAGGCTGAATAATTATGTAAGGTAATATGTTTTAATGCTAGTATGATTACAGGGGTGAGCAAAAGTAGGTTTATAGTACATATGGAAAAAGACATGCAGGTGACAATTGTTGCCGTAGCTTCACCAACCCCAAGGAACGTGGAAATGCAACTGTAAACCTACTCTCACCCACCCCTGCAAATGTAATTTAACATTATTAATCTCACCTATCCATGAGGTTTCCCTTCATTCGGTATTCAATGCACATTCACTAACCTCTGTGTGGTGTTGTACTCGAAAGTGTTATAATAAAGTCATTGCATCTCTGAGCTTACTTTGTCCTGAAGGCATAAACTGTGCATTCATTGTACTGGCATCTCTAAGGCAGCTCCGTGTATTCATGCTCATTTCTTAAACACTCGCCCCCCAAATTGTAGAAGTTCCTAGGAAAGCAGAGCAGTGGGCAAATACCTTTGAAGTTCTAAGATTTCAGTAACACCTAGTACAATAAAAATGGAAATTTATTAGATTTCTCATTTAAATTTCCCATATTCAGAGAGACTGACCTATTCAAAGAAAATCATTTGTTTAGCAAGAATGCCTTAATTTAATGAAGCTTTTGAGTCTGCTGTTTCTCTGGTATAGAAACATTACATCCTTTATTGTCTGTTGTGGCCAAATCAACATAAAGTGAATGCCCAGCTGGTTTGTATAAATAGAACATGAAAATGCAACTCAAATTGAGATGACCAGTAAAGTGACTGCAGACCAGTAACCCCCAGATTGGATCCCCTCTTTCCTTCCCAGGGGCTGAATTGGTCATCACAAGAAGTCATACGCCAGGAGACCTTTTTCCCCAAGGGGAGACTGTGGTGAGGTATACAGCCACTGACCCCTCAGGCAATAACAGAACGTGTGACATTCACATCGTCATAAAAGGTATTCTCTTCCTAAGTTTCCAGAAATCCAGTGGACATTTGATATGTGGAATTGCTATTGTGAAACAAAGCAGGCTTTGAGCAGTAGAGTTGTAAAGTTAGAGTACCGACAGATTTTATTTAGGTTTCCAACTATTATTCCTTGACTCCATGATAAATAAAGATGCTATCCTCCAAGGCAGTCTTTAACATTTTACTAACATTTTCTCTAAAGGTACAAAGTAGTGTCATGGTTTTATTTGGAATGCTTGAGGAGAGGTATTCTGAAAATGCATTTACTACATTTCTGGTTTTCATTTTGAGTAAAGAATGCCAGAAATAGCAACCCCCAATCAGAGACACGTTCAGCTTTTCATCAAACCTGCACAACCGCTAATTATACATAGGTACAGCTTTTTAACTCTGCCCACTTAGGGCTTGAAAAGCCAGCCCCATGCTAAGGATGCATGATGGAAGTTATTCTAGGAATATGGTGGACAGGAGGAATCCTTTTTATAATTCAGTTTAGACTCCTGGAGTTTAATTTATTTTCTCATACCACTGTATATGAAAAATACATTTTTTAACACAGGTTCTCCCTGTGGGGTTCCCTTTACGCCGGTAAATGGGGACTTGGTATGTACTCAAGACGGTGCCGGAGTGAACTGCACGTTAAGTTGCTTGGAGGGCTACGATTTCACAGAAGGCTCCACGGAGAAGTATTACTGCGCTTATGAGGATGGCATCTGGAAGCCGCCCTATTCCACTGAATGGCCAGACTGTGCTAGTAAGCTGTGACTTTTTTCTGGACTTTTTTAGTGCGTGTGTTGGTCTGCCCATGTGTGTACATTTCTAAGCATGTAAAAATTTTGCCTTAATTATAGGAATTAGGTTTGGTGAGTAGAAGACAGTGCCATGAATTTGAAACATTTGTGGAGAAATGCTCATTCCTCCATTTCAAATATTACCCCACAGAACCTTGTCATTGGCTGGATTGCTGCAGGCCAAGATCTAGTTTTGGGCAAAACCACCCAGACCCTCTCATTGTTATTTATCAGAAATATCTGATGAGACTTGTCACCATGTTATTTCTGACTTCTAAACTTGAACTTAAAGTATAATCTCATAGACTACAGAAGAGATAACTTTTAAAGTAAGAGCCAATACATGTGATGGAATAAGGGTACTAATATATTCTTAGATCTGATTTAGATTTAGAATTATTTTATAATCTTAAATGTGTGTTATAAAAATAACCCAATATCTTTGTCTAGTGTAAATAATATTATCTGGCGTGAATAATTGATCCAGTACCATAGATGGAGTTTTAATGCCAATGTCATAGAAAAAAAGTAAAGCCCACTTAACTGAGCAATTTTTTTTTTCCAAAGTTGGGAAGTAAGTAGAAGCAATATCGCCTGCCTCTATCGTGGAATGTCAGATGGTAGGAATTTAACGATGGTGCTATTAGAGAAGGCCTGACTTCTGAGTACTTTGAGACATCTTCCTGAACCTAATTTCATCTCCAACAAATTTGTGTTTGTGAAATTACAAGTTCAAGAAATATAATTTCACAGAATAGAGAAGTTTAACTGTCTATGGTTGAAAAGATAATATAAATATAGTTATAAATTTAAATAAATATGAAATATATTTATCCAGCCATTATTTTTCCTAGGAATATAATGAAAACAATTTTATTTCTTATTTCCCTAAGTGATTGGAAGATAAAGAATAACTTACCAAAGGCAATTCATTACCCAGTAACTTGGTCCAGTGCTTATTTGGCTTCTACTTTGTTTCCTGTGATTGACTGATGCCTAAAAATTGTCTGTAATTGTCATCTCTTATTTTCATTACAACCCAACAAATCCTATTGGGGTTAAAATGCTAAGTTACAGTTATTCCGTGGAAAGTTAAAACTCTCTTTTGAAAACACTAAACAGCTAAAGCTATTTTTTCCAACATTTTCTAGTAAAACGTTTTGCAAATCACGGGTTCAAGTCCTTTGAGATGCTGTACAAAGCAACTCGTTGTGATGACACGGAGCTGTTGAAAAAGTTTTCGGAAGCGTTTGAGACGACCCTGGGGAAAATGGTAGGCCGCCCCCCCCTTCACTGTTTGTCCTGTTTGGAAGGACGCTGTTGGCCTTTCAGCACCACTCTGGGTCACCTGCAACAGAAATTTCTTGTCCTAATGATTTCTCTCTTCTTTGTGATCCAGACTTGTTCCTAGTAGTTAGAATCATCCATAGGTTTTGGACTTCCAGAGTGAATTATAAGTAAGTCTGTATTAAAAAGTTTTAAAGATCTTAAACACTCTGAGTCAAAAAGTCAGAGACGCTTAGCGTCCATGTGGTTTGAGAATGTCTGCTTTGTCATTTAAAGTATAACAAAAATGCCATTGTAGACTGTATTTCTTTCATGATGAAATCAGCGAACATTTCAGGGATTTCTTTTTCATGCATTTTTGTTTAAGACTCTTTCAATGGTTACAAAAAAGCAAAGCAATATATTTAACTGTGTTGTGGCCTTAAAAACCACACAAGTATTCTCTGCATATTTTATCCTAAAAGAGTGGGTAGTTTAGATTTTGGATTGATTCTGAAAGTAGACTGAGAGGTCATAGTCAATTTGATTAGACTGAAGGGAAAGAGTAGTCAAGGAGGCCGGGGGAACAGGAACACAGAGCAGGAGTGGGTCCCCGTGATGGTGGAAGTGTGTGAAAAGAGATCATTTCTGACTTCTTTTATAAGTGAAATAAACCCACTTAATTGAACTATTAGAGTAGAATAATCAACCTAGAGCAAGGCTGGGGAGGAATTGTTGGAAGTTTAAGAAAAGATGGCATAAAGGAATTATAAAATAATTTTCTGGAATAGAAATGAATATACTAAAGAAATGTTGAAGGATCGCCAATAAGCAGGGATGTGTTTCTCTCAAGTTATAATTGACCATGTGGGTGCAAGTGTGGAGAAAGAAGCACTATTAATTTAACATTTAGCTAGAGGAGGGTTCTGTAGACAAACACATTGAGGAGTGTGATTCATGGGAACGGACCATGGAATCTAAGATGGGTGACTGGCAAAGTGAAGACATCAGCAGCTGAGTGCCGATGAAGAGGTGGTAGGGTCAATGAGTTAGGAAGTCTGATGTGGTCAAGACTTAACCCAAGACTTGATGGATTCCTGGGAGGAGAAGAGGGTGCAGTTACTCGTAATGAGGTCTGAGGTTCTGACCATGAGAGTGAGTGACACAGTGAAGTTGGAAGACAGGAGACAGTGAGAAGCCAAGGAGATGGAAGGATTAGCTGGGTGGACATAGAAATCACCTAGAATTAGAATAGGGGCAGTTACTAAATGTTCTTAGTATGGGGGTGGGGAGACTCAGACTGGGGAAGGGCTGCAGATGACAGCCACGGGTGGGGCAGTGTGTGCTCTACTTGACTGCATACGTTTCAAAACTGTGAGGCACGAGACGATGCGTGTTCTGAAAACAGCAGTGAAGACTGAGGTGGACATCCCTCCACCTCCATGCCCACCACTTAAGAAAACAGAAATCGCATTATAGAATTGCACAACTGAAACCTATGTGATTTTACTAACTAATGTCACCCCAATAAATTTAATGAAAAAGTAAAAAAAAGAGAAAAGCTAAAACTGGAAAGTCAAGTTTCATTGAGAGCACGCACAGGTGAAGGAAACATAAAAAAAGAGGTACCAAAAATAATAGGAGGTATTCTGATTACTGACTGTGAGCATCAGAAGGCACAGAGGAGCGTTTTCAGGACTTGGGAGCGGGTGGGAGACAGGGTCAGAGAAAAAGGATCTGAAGAGACACGTGGCTAAGCGTGCAGAGATTAGAGCTATCCTAGGAGGCCTGGGGGTTTTGTGGTAAGTGACATAAACAGAGAAGAGGCATGAGAATAATCCCCGTGGTTCACAGGGAGTGAGAGGAGGGTAGGGAAGGGATAGAGGAGGGTCAGGAGTCTTTTCAAGAACAGGCAGAGCTCCAACCACCCCGCCCTCCTACTGAGGGAGATGTGAAGGCCAAAGCCCTCAGAGATGCGAATTGCTTTTTGTTCTCTGCATTTTTTATTCGCAGGTCCCATCATTTTGTAATGATGCTGATGACATTGACTGCAGACTGGAAGACTTGACCAAAAAATATTGCCTTGAATATAATTACGACTATGAAAATGGCTTTGCAATTGGTAATTCAATTATTCCGGGTTGGTAGTTTACGAGACTAATCTGCAGAATGAGAACATAATTTCAGTAGAGTAAGGCAAACTAGGAAGATGAATTTTTATTAATTTTTTCATCAAGTTATTTTTGGATAATTTGATACCATACTTAGTGATCTTTATAGGTATATTAAATTTGGGGTATCCAATCAATTATTTTAAACTGTTAGGCAAAACTCATCACAATGATAAAAACTAAGAAAACCAAGTCAAGAACCCACAATCTGAATCCATATAGTTGATTATAATGATAATGAGGGCATCTAAAAAATCTTAGATGCCCTCACTTATCCTTGTTGCCTTCAGTGTAAATAAATAAATATAGATATAGATATTTAAATATATGCTGCCTTCAGAAACTATGCAGATATCTTGAATAATCTTCATAAAAGGATGTCTGTTTATGTGTATTACGTTTGTAAAGCTGATTTTTTTTAAATGGCACAAACCCTGAAGGGAAATAGGAACTGATCAGAATTCTGCTGTTACCACCCATTTATCTCTAAAGCTAATTGAGTCAGAGAAGGGTGGTTTAAATGCCTATGTAGCTCCAAAGCCTTTTCTTTCTACTTTTAATGTAATTACTGGTCATCTAAATGTAGCACAAAGTTCCTAAAAATTGTAATATGAGGTTTTAGGTGAAATTCTGTATGTGGTGCATATGGGTAATTTAAGCGGGGGTCAAGGGAGCTTGGACATCTGGCTTAACCTTTGAAGCTAAAAGCTGATTAAGATGTAACTGTAGAATATTTTTTCTCTGCCCCAAATGCCCAGGGCCAGGTGGTTGGGGAGCAGCTAATCGGCTGGATTACTCTTATGATGACTTCTTGGACTCCGTGCAAGCAACCCCCACGGGTGCCGGCAAAGCCAGGTCTTCACGGATGAAAAGAAGTGCCCCATTAACTGACCACAAAATTAAGTTAATTTTTAATATCACAGGTAAGGACAAACCATCTATGTAGAAGAGTAACATTATGTGAAATTCTTGGTCTCAGACCTTTTTTCCAAATATTTGTTCATAATCATTAGGAAACGCCCTGGAACTAAAAATTAGGCAGAGAGAGCATGGCCACCTAAGTGCCGTGATTTTTTTTGCAACTTAGCATCACAGATGTGTGTCAGGGTGGTGTTCTGAGAGCAGCAAGCACAGATGTTGTTCCGACAGCAGCAGGCACCCTGCTTTGTTCTCACCTTGGCCTGATGAACTTTAAAAAGCAAGAACACACGGGAATTGAATGTGCTTGTAATGAAGAACTCTGCAAAAAAGTGACTCAGAGGCAGCACGAAGGATCAAAACAAATTATATTGTTCTCACTGTTACCCATGTACTAGTTTCTTAGTAAGTAGTGCTTGAGTTTGAGTTTGTTTTTCCTGGACTATTTGTACTATGCCATTTCTTTTAGGTAAAAACTAACTACAAATGGCTTCCTGAATATGTTACATTTTATTTTGTCTTGTTTTTCTTTTTATCTCAGCTAGTGTGCCTTTACCTGATGAAAGAAATGATACCATTGAATTGAAAAACCAGCAACGGCTCATTAACACCTTGGAAACTATCACAAATCAATTGAAAAGGACCCTTGACAAGGAGCCCCTGTATTCCTTTCAGCTTGCCTCGGAAATTCTGGTAGCCGATAGCAACTCACTGGAAACGGAAAAGGCTTTACTCTTCTGCAGACCAGGCTCAGTGCTCAGAGGGCGGATGTGTGGTAAGACTTCGCCCTGCGATCAAATATAGTTGCTGTAGCCCTGGTCGGGTGGCTGGGTTGGTTGGAGCGTCATCCTGTACAGCAGAAGGTTGCAGGTTCAGTTCCCAGTCAGGGTACACACAGAAGGCACGTACATACCTTGGGAGAGAGAGAATGTTTCTTTCTCTCTCCCTTTCTTCCTCTCTCTTTAGAAATCAATAAACCTACCCTTTGGTAAAGATTAAAAATATGCGTGTATATGCCCTGGCGGATGTAGCTCAGTGAATTGAGCACAGGCCTGTGAACCAGAAAAATATGCGTGTATACATGTATACATATATGTGTGTATACACACATTGGGTTAAATGAGATGAGCAGAGCTATTTCACAACTATGATGGCATATGGAAGTGAAACCGACATTTTGCTCTCGTGCGGTTGTTACTACTATTCTGTCTCAAAAGTCGAAATAACCACTCTCGATAGGACAAGAAAACTATTTTACATGAGGAGCTCTAATCCTAGTTTTATTCACGGGCCTTTAGACCTCACAGCTTTCAGCAGCAGCTTCCATAACGATACTAACGAATAGTTTGGGGCCACTGCTCTGTGCTGGCTACACGGGACAAAACCACTCATGTCTGATGCTGTGCGAGGCGCCATTGTGATGAATGAAGCACATTTTCCAGATGAGAAAACTGAAGCCAGCGAGGCTCAGAGCTCACCCAGTCAGTCTAAACTGACCAAAATAACAGGTGGCGTTGCTAAGATCGCCCCTCGTCAGCCAACACCAAATTCACACAGCGCAACATTAATCATTTTAAAGTGGACAGTTCAGTGGTACATGGACAGCGCTGGTGAACCATCACCTCTGTCTGAGTTCCCGAACATTTTCATCATCTGGAGGAGACCCCGAACCCATTAAGCAGTCACTCCCCATTCTACGTACCCCCAGCCCCTTAACTTTTAACCCCTATTCTAGGCTGCCGTGACCTGGATAAATTCCAGCCTGTGTCCCAAATAAGTCACCGTGTGTAGATAGTGGAATGTCCTCTACCCACACTCTTAACCCTCAACTGAACCAAATGATTCTGTTCAACTCTCTGTAGGTGAGAAATCTTGCATCCTGGTCAGAAAACCTTCCTCAACAGTTCTTAGTGCTGTTCACAGAACTGATGGGTTTTTCATAGTGAGATCAGTTCAGCCCAACAAAAGCACAATCGTTATTCTGGGCCTGCTCCCATTTCCTCCCCACCCTGTGAGTAAAACCAGGAAGCCCCTTAAGCAGCGTCCGCATTCCTCCGTGTGGTCTGCAGACCACCTGTGTCGGCATCACCTGAACTGCTTGCTGAAGGGCATTGTACTCAGGTCCCCTCCCAGAACTGGTGCATCTGGCACCTCTGGGGCTGGGCCTTAGAATCTGCATCTTCATTAAGTTCCTTGGATAAGTTCTTACACACTCAAACACCTCAGAATCAGGCACCTAGCTACTAATTTTCTATGATAATACTACCTTTGCTAAGAGACTTTGATGTTCCACTTTGGTCTCAGAAATTCAGCATCACTCAAGCCTCAAGCCTGGCAGGAAAGGAGAGCAAATCTTCCAGGAAGGAAGGTCCTCAAATTGGCCTTTTTGCCTGAGCCTATGGCTCTGAGGACGCCTCCGGCTGGCCTTCAGTGGGCAGTGACCCTTGCAGGCAGGGAGACGAGGGTCCGCCCAGCTCACCTGAGTCAGGCTCACCACTGTTGCCTGCTTTTGTCTCTAGAAGCGATGCTGTGTAATGCACGAGCATTCCGTGTCATCGGAGGAACCGCAAGACATTTTTAATATCTCAGAGCCTCAAATTAACCTAAACGTTCATGGCTTTATCCTTTTGTTCAGCAGTGTGTTAGCTTTCCTTCGTTAGCTATGCGTTTCCCAAGCTTTCACACACACTGTAAAGCCCCCATTGTGTAAGCCCTAGGCTTGGTAAATGAGAATTTGCATTTTCTCAAAAAAAAAAAAGTAAATCTGCTGTTGGTTTCTAGGTTGGCGCTTCTGGAAGGTTTACCCCGTGAGTGAACCTCTGGCAGACAGTTTAACCCATAAACCCATAAACAAGAGTACCCAGAAGCAGCTGTATTAACTTTCTCCTGCTTTAGGAGTCAAGGAGCTGAGGGTGCCATTGCTGCTGTTGACTGTGCTCAGCGTCTCCTGTTTGTTTTCTCTGTTTGTTTTCTCCTCAGTCAAGTGCCCTCTGGGAACCCATTATTCTCTGGAGCGTTTTGGCTGTGAAAGCTGTTTGATGGGATCGTACCAAGATGAAGAAGGGCAGCTCGAGTGCAAACGCTGTCCAGCTGGGACCTACACTGAGTATCTCCATTCGAGAGACAGCTCAGAGTGCAAAGGTAGGGGCCGCCTGCACATCCAATGGGAGAAGCCGGAGTTGCGCCTCCAGTTACGGAATCGAAATGGCAGACATGAAATAAGAGCATGATCAAAAGCCACTGCATTTGTTTATTTTTCCTTTCTTTCCATGATAAAATATTACCCAAGTGTTTTCCCGTTGAAAGAAGTTTGTTTCTTTCCATTTGGAGCGTTCTCTTGCTCTAAGTCAAACTCCACTGTCCGTCATTCCAATCCGCATTCATCAGCTAGCTGGATTTTTCATTGAATTTCACTTTAATTGGGGGGAAGGACTTTCATAACACTTAGCCACCATCATCAGGTTGCTTTTTTGTTAGAATGGTATTCAACCTGGTGGGATCAACTCTCTAATTACCTGGAAATTCATAACTGCAGCTACAACTTGCGTATATTCTGGCTACTAAAGAAAATAGTCAATATTTTCAAAGCATTTCACTGTTATTCTCAATGAACATTTTTGAAGGAAACATTTTCTTTCACAATTGAAGTTCCAATAAGACAGACCTCAAGGAAGGAATTTCAAAATCCGGCCTCCTCGCTGTTGTTGCAAATGCGGCTGTGGATGCACATTGGCAAATACAAACTCAGGAGCAGAGCAGGGTGGTTGGAAGTGCCCTGAGTGGGTCAGCGTCCTGAAAGCGAGAGCCCTGTGGAGGCAAGAGGGGAGCACAGCGTGTCTGGAGTCGGGGGGACTCTGGCCTGGGTCCTCCACGACAGAACCATTGCGATGAGTTTTAGAAAGCTGCTTAATTAACCGCCCTGGGCCTGGTGCTGGGACTATTCTTACTCTCTACCCCTCCAGCCCTCCAATATCTCAGTGTCCATAGATCATGTCTGTGGGTAGGAAGAGGTAGGAGGGCCAGTTTGTAATTAGAGCAACAAAGGTTCCAGCTTGGGCGTGAGGCTCTACCCCCATTTTGGGTTTCGTTTCTGTCACTCAAGCTGAGAACTCGTACAAGAGCTGGTTCCACCGTGCTAACCTGCTCTGAGGGCAGCGACTTTCTCAGATGCAGTTTTCTAACTTCACTGGAAAACTACTACTGACTCTTTCTTTGGGTCAAGCACTGCGCTGGGTAATCACAGAAGTAACTGGAAACAGGTTGAAAACTTGCTGGTGTGCACAAGTACGAGGAACACTAAAATATAATATATGTGCTGGGAGTCCGTGTCCTTCGTTCTGTCCTAAATAAACTAAAATGCAGAAAACCCTGTTCTACATAGTACTGGTTTTTGTACAGCTTAATGTCATCATTGTTAACCGTATTACATTTTTCTGTTTTAGCTCTTTGTAAACAAGGCACCTACTCAACAAATGGGCTTGAGACTTGTGAGTCGTGTCCACTGGGCAGTTATCAGCCTGACCTCGGTGCCCGGAGCTGCCTCCCCTGTCCAACCAACACTTCAACGGTGAAAAGAGGAGCCGTGGACATTTCTGCTTGTGGAGGTTATCAAAGCCCTACACACTGATATTTCTTCAAACCCACTAGGTTCTAGGCATGGAGAGGTGGAATATTTTCAGCAAAACCCTATGTCTGCTGTATGCAGTGAATATAAATAACTGTCTGTTTATAGAGTGTTTCCTTTTATTCTACCAGCCAATACTTAAGTGAAAAGTAGGAATGAAGTTACCATCAGCCTATTGCCAGAAATTCTAAAAACTCCAACGACTTTGCAAAATCAGTGGAACTGGATTAAAAATAAAAAGTTGTTGGCCTCACTCTGCTGCATCACACAACAAAACAAGCATGTCTGGTTGCAAGATGAGTTTTTAGGAAAAAAAATTGGGTATTCTCATTCCCTACATCCTTATTTAAAAACCTAAGGTCTATGGCAATCTAAAAATTTTAAAGCCGCTCCCTCAGTGAGTAAGTGATATTTTTAAGAAGCCAGTCTGCTGGTTCCCCATTTCTCTCAGTCTACACACACTCACACACACCCCTTCCACCCTCACTGCGTGCCAGTCATATGTCTGCATTCGATTAGAGACTGACCTTCCTAGGAAACAACTCCTTAGAGCCTTTGAGGGTAGTAATTGGCAGGGAGAAGTATCCAGCACTGCATCTTGGGAAATGTAGTTTTCATAAGTTGAGGGCTACAGGGAAAATATACTATTGGTTGTTACGTATTTCATCAGTTAAAATTATCTTAGTCTGGTAGGATCAGAGCAGATGAAAGTCTGTTAGACCTGAGGACTTGGATGAGTAGTAGTCATCCACCTAATGTTTCACTGATGAGAACTTAACTAGGCCCTAATTGTCACTCATAAACCATGTCTGCTGTGTAATACCAGCTTCGGATTTTTGTTTTTGAAAAGTCAAACAAGGCTTCACATTATGGTTGAAATAGATCTATTGGAGAATTTTATTTTGTCAGTATACAAACTAATTTGGGGAGAAAGTTGGCAGTAAAAAAAATTCTCTCTCTCTCTCTCACTCCCTTTCTCCAACCACAAAAGCAAGTAGGATTTTTACAGTAAAACAAGTTTGCATTTGAGAGGTTTTTTTTTTTCCTTTAGCTTTCCAAGTAGGCCTTGGGGTTTGTCTAACACCAAATTATTGCAATTAAGCAATTACAATTTCCAGAAAGTCTCCAAACTTCTGGTAACTGACCTATTTCTCCTAATATTCCTAGTACAAGTGTAACCACATTCTGTTTGTCCTGAGTGAGAACTGGAAGTAACAGAACCAAAGCTCTTTCCTCTGCAGCTGGATGACACTGTTTTACTTTAAACTTGAATTTGAGCTTTCAAATGGTTCCTTGCACATTTTTTCTTAGGTTTTAGTACACTCTTTTCTTTCTTCTTACTTTCTTTGTTTGTCACTCTGTCTCTCTCCCTCTTTCTCTTTGACCCCTTCCCTCCCTCTCTCTTTGTTTCCTTTTTCTTTATTTATTTTCTTTCAGTTTTATTTTTATGGGCATGTTGTACAGGTTACCTTATTTTTCTAAGATACTACTTTTTACACTCTTTAGCATGATGAACTTAAAATAACTTTCATCAATAGAGCAATTAAATTTAAGTATATGACGATGTTAAAGTAGTATTCTGTGCTTTATACACTTCATCTTTTATTGCTTTTTTATGGAGTTTCTTTTATAACTTCTTAGGCTATTAAATATTCTTGGGTGTGTGATTACAGATCAAGAGTGTGATTTTTTTTTAATGATTTTTAGCTGAAGAGCAAGCCCCTCACATACGATCTTTTGGGTGATAATGTTGTTTCCATATGGTCCCATCGGAGAAGGAACGGTGGACAGCATTTCTCACCCAGATCCCCTGGGTTAGACGGAAACTCGGAATAAGAGTCTTTGACCTCTGACCCTCTCCTGGGAAACCCATTTAAAAGGCAAAAATCATAGGCTTTGGGACTCTATGTATTGTCCCGAACACTATCAGGGAACAGACATTTGGGTTGCATTTTACCCTGGTCTTTTCATTGCTTTATTTTTATATAACTCTATTTTAATATCACGTTTGGCATACTTAGAATTTTATCTCTGTCTCTTCGGTAAAAGAGATGAGGCAGATTTCATTCTATTTTCTTGACTCAGAAACCAGTTTCTTTGGCCAAGATTCAAAATGAAACTTTCCCCTTTCTTTTCTTATGACTTTAGTCCATTACAAACTGCATATGTATATGTACATATATGTGTATTTGTATGTGTGCATAGGTGTTTAATACAGTATTATGTACTAGATAGTGTTACTGTTTTACATATGTGTTTATACATGCATATTTTACATGTGTGTATGTATACATATATGTTTACTGCATATATAAATAATATATCAAATACTGATTATCCACTCTTGGAACGTATATTTCTGATAATGTAATTTAAATTAATTTTCACATTAAAATTTATTTTACACTTTCTATACTCAAAAGTAAAGCATAGACATCACAACATGTTCATTATTTTGAGATGACAACTGCTTATTGACTTTTAATCTTAAGGTTTTATTATTATTATATCTTATATGATTTTTGACATTCTGTTAGTTATTAAGGCCAATAGTCCTTTTTTATAGGATGAGATTGTACTGAACACAATGATTTGTAAAAAACAGTTTAATATATCATAACACTTTATTGACAGAATTTATATTTTTTACCATGTAAGATTTCTACGTTCAATTAACTACTTTAATTAGCTGTTTAGAAGGTACCTTTTCCATATAGGTAGTCATTTTTGGAAACTTGAGATTCAGAAAACCCATTTTAAACTCAAGAAGTTTATATTATGTTTATGCAAAGCCCTTTTTAGTACTTTGAGATTTAGCGACAAAGAATAGATTAATTTATTCTTGGTGAAAAAAAGATACTTACAGTTTAAAAGTTTTCATGAATGTAATGAATATAGCCACAAGAAATATTTTCTTCTAATAGGCATTCATGTTTGCGTTTTCTGTCATCACTCAGTTTGACTCCTTTTTGTCAGTGGGGTGTATAAATGACTCTTAGGCAAGAGATCTGCTACCTTTTTCTAATTAAGACCTTTGATCTGTCTCGTGACTACCTCAACCGCTCTTGATTATGTGATGTTTATTGTCATCCCAACAAAAAAGAGGTGCGTTACGCTGAGGCTCCCTTGGGCCTCATGTACATCTCTGGGGCAACCATATTGCTAATTATTTCTGTCGCATTAACCTGTGTAACCAAGAATCCCAAACCTAAATAATAAGCAAGTTGATATCCTAAATACCAGCAGTTCTATGTCCTACCTTCTATACTTAAATTTATGCGGACAGGTCTTAATAATTTTAGTAGTTTTCTGTTAATAATGGTTTAAGGGCTCACACAAAGGTTACCAGTTCACACAGGAAAGAGCACAGTCCACCAGAGTGCGTGTGTGGGTCAGTGTAAAACCCAGTTTACGGGATTAGTCATTGGTGGTCTACCATTGTCCCTCTGCCAAATGCAACCAAACTGTATGGAAGAAACACTAGGCTCATGCTATGCTTGAGGCTGTTGTTCTATTTGGTTAATATTCTACCAATTATTGGCAGGAATTTCAGATTTGGTTAACAATATTCAAAGTTTTCTTCAATGTTGTGTACAAAGTCATGTCTACTACAAAATGACATTAAAAGGTTTAAAAATAAAAGACCTCCACACAAATGTCAAATATACAGGAGAAATAAAAATTTCTGATAGACATTTTTTAAAAAGCAGCTTCAGCCCTGACTGGTGTGGCTCAGTGGGTTAGGCATTGTGCTGAAACGTTATTGGTTCAATTCCCAGTCAGGGCACATACCTGTGTTGCCGGCCAGGTTCCTAGTGTGGGGCACGAAAGAGGCAACTGATTGATGTTTCTCTCACATGTCAATGTTTCTCCCCCTTTCTTTCTCCCTCCCTTCCCCTCTCTCTAAAAATAAATAAATAAAATATTTTTAAAATTTTTAAATAAAATAAAAACCAAGTTCATTTACCATCAAAATGCAAATTAAAATAACAGTACAATTTTATTTTCACCTTCAAGTCAGAAAAATTTTAATAATCATAATGCTCATAAGTGTGCAATCAGGGCATTTTTATACACTGCTGATAGGACTGTAAATTGGAACTAACTTTTTTTAGTGATTTGGCGTTATATAGTCACAGCTTTAAACTTTTCATGACATTAGATCTAACTACCTGAGATTCAACTGTTATTCTAGAGGAGTAATCAGGGCTATATATACAATTTATGTAGAATATTTCATGTCAGATTATTTATAATAGCAAACAAATAGAGTCAATTTAAGTATCCAATAGGAGAAGACATTAAATCAGTTATGGCCTATGAAAGGAATGTGATATTTTTCATTTATTCACAACCATGTTATATAATAATTTGGGGAATGATTTGGGAAATGCTAATGATATAATGTTAAGTAGAAAAATCAGAATACAATATTATATGGCCAGTTCGAATTTTCATTAAGAGTATGTCTGTTGTAAAAGACGAGAAGGAAAGACAAAACATTTATCTGGATGATAAAATGGTCTGGGTATTAAATATGCTCAAGAGACATTATTGGCAATTCAGTGGCTTTCTTACAACCAAAGCTTATTGCACTTCTTTAAATGTAGGTTGTGTTACTTCAATGCACAAATGGTTTGTTTTGACCCTTGCAGTGCCTTGTCCACTAGGAGAGTTCTCTCGATCTGGGTTAAAGCCCTGTTACCCTTGTCCTCAAGACTACTACCAGCCCAATGCAGGGAAGTCCTTCTGCCTGGCTTGTCCCTTCTACGGAACTACAACCTTCACTGGTGCCACATCCATCACAGATTGCTCCAGTAAGACGATATCTTTTATACCTCCATAGCCCTGTGTTGGAGATGTTAGCTCATCTCTGTGGTAACTTCAATTCTGAATGTTAACATGTCACTGGACTTGGATGTCTAGACTTATTAAATGGTCCTTTTGATGTCTTTTTGATGACAGTGACTCAAAGATTCTTAATTTGGGAGTGTTGAACTTGGTAACTTCCAATTGCTAAGAGTCTAGAATTTAATGATGTATCCATCTATCTCTGTTTTCTTTTTTAATATTGCTAAAACAAAATATGTGTGGCTTTTTCTACCCTGACAACCAGAATCTTGACGATAGTATTTAAAGAGAATCTGCATATTGGCAATATCTACTACACAATATGTTTCTCTGATGTTTTCCCATTGGTTTTACTAGGCTTTGGCTCATTTTTCTCTGTAGCAGAGGAGAGTATAGTGCCCCAGACTTCTCCTGGGCATATGAAGAACAACTATGAAGTCAGCAGTCAGGCAAGTCCATTTTCTGTGTATGAGGTTTTCTCCAGTGGAAGGTTTGAAAGACAACTTGCTGATGATGTACATGCCACCCAGAGGAAAATTGCCAGAGTTGAAACTTTAAGTAACCAAGACTCATAAATATTATCAATGAATAATTGTATTTACTTATGACTTCTAATAAGAACTTCCCAAAATTTCAGCATCAGAAGTCTAAGTACCAAAAATGGATTTTTTCTCCAATCAATTTCTGGCACAGAGAATAAGTGGATATGGGGAGCCTTTTCTATTGATTTAAAAAAAAATGGAGACAGGAAGGGAGGGAGGGTGGGTAGAGAGAAAGTGAGAGAAAAACATCAATTTATTGTTCCCAGTTACTTCTTGTATGTGCCCTGACCAGAGATCAAACCAGCAACCTTGGCATAAGGGGATGACACTCCATCCAGCTGAGCTGCCTGGATAGGACTGGTTATGGGAAGCTTTTTGATTCACTAATAATTAACTTACCATAAACATAGCCCATCATTTGCATAAGGGCATTTGGATTAGCCAAAGGCCTTTTCTGATTTGTGGGAAGTGTCACTCAATTTTCGTGAAAATTATTTTAAATTATTTTGTCTGCAAAAAAAAATGGCTTACTGGATTTCTAAAAAAATAATTAAGGTTTAAAATAATTAAGAAGCATCACTCATGAACATAAGAAAATTCATTGTTCAGCCATTACTGTGAATTTACCCTGCCCAATGTCATCGTAAGTTCCTTCAGGTATTTTTAAAGAGGATAAGGAGGCTTAATTTCTTATTTCAACTTCCTACGGCCTTGTCTAAACATCCTGATTTCTAAGGGCTTCATAAGTCATATTTGAAACTAAGGCTAGTGGACACGGATTTTGTAAGGATTTAAAGAGCTGTAACTATCAACCCTGGAGACCTATTAGAATCTACTGGTCAACTTTTTAAAATAATGGTGCACACAGATCCCGCCCCAAGAGATCCTGATTTAGCTGGTCTGGGTTGGAGCCCTGTTCTTAGTGTACTTTTAAAACACCTCAGAGGATGCTAATGTGCAACCAGCTTTTAGAAACAGTGCTTGGCTTTACCAGAACGTCACTCAAGAGTAAGACGCGTCATCTGTGCCAGGCACCAACATGTGTGCAGGTAGCAGTCCCTCTAGCTTGAGTGAACTCACCTGAAAACAGGAATCAGTGATGTAAAGGTAAAACCTCCTAAGTCCCTGGTCAAGAGTCCTTTGAAATGAATAGAGTGTTTTGTCTGATAGATTTCTTTTCTGTCACTGGCAGGTTTTCCATGAATGCTTCCTAAACCCTTGCCACAATAGTGGAACCTGCCAACAACTGGGGCGTGGTTACGTCTGCCTCTGTCCACCTGGATATACAGGTAACATAGAGAAATGCAAATATTAAAGTGGCTTTTGTATGAAATCATTGTGACTTGCAGAATCAAACTTTGGGACATTAAAAATAAAGCCTGTAACATACATTAGGCTGTATCGATGCATAAAAATTTGGTTGAACGAGATAAACCAATAGGTGAAAAAGGGTATACACATCTTAAAAATGACAGTTTTCTTTGCATGTTTGGAAGAAGAATAAAGAATTGTCTTTTGGATGAAAAAGTCACGTCATACCTTACAATTTAAATTGGAATACAGTTCCAGAGGTCATGGCCAAGGTTTCATTCTAACACAAATTACATACCTGACAGTCAACATAGAACAGATTGTCCAGCATAAACATTTTTAAAGAAACTCCAGTTTCCCTCCTTTGCTCACACTAGTGGACATTCTTGTGAATAGCTATGGTTTATTGCTTTGCTTCTATCTTTCTGGAAGATTTGCTGAGAAAAATAATATGACTTTAGACTTGATTATATAGGAATTATGTTTTTTTGCAGTTTGGTTCACATTCTTATTCAGTTCTGAAACATAATTTTTGAGGAGAAATAAACTACATGTTGAAATTGCAATTTATCTACAATAATTTTCTGTTTTGTCTAGAAATTAAGTATTTGAATTTTTCTGAATGTTGTGCAACCAACATGGAATATTTTTGAGAAAAAATACTTAAATAAAAGAATTCATAACAAAATAAGCAAAAGGCAAATTGGGAAACAAAATATAGCCCAAGGCTGCCAAGAATATTGGTATTCTACTCATGGGTGTGTGTTTTAACTTTGGTTAAAAAAAAAAAAAACCTTCCCGACATTCCATAATAAATAATGGACCTTGTTCTAGCACTTTATGGATGAGTAGTGGTTGAGAAAGAGTGTAATATAGGACTGTGGTTCTCAAATATTGAGGCACACCAGAATCATCTGGAGGGCTTGATAAAGCAGATTGCTGGACCACTGCCCCAGAAGTTATCGTTCAGTAGGTCTGGGAAAGATCAGAGAATGTGAATTTCTACCAAGTCCCAGGTGGTGCTGTTGCCATTGACCCAGGGGCCACACTTTGAGACCCTGAGGTATAGAGAAGAACATGGTTTCCGGCAGAGCTGGCCCATAGAAAGCTTGTGTGCACCCCCTCAGAAGATGCAGTCCCACCCTAGGGCACCTGGCTTGTGAGTTGAGATCTGGCAGGATTTAGCCCCACCCCCACCCCTCAGCCAAGTGACCTTGGTAGCAAGTATGTTTGGCTGTGTCTTCCATTTTGAAATCAACCAAATTTCTGGCTCCATTTTATGCTTCTGGGTGTCCCTCCTTCCTTCCCCCACCACACACACTTCCAACTCGGGATATGTTTCTACCTTTTACGTATCCTTATAAGGATATCTTAAATCTGTTCAGAAAGAGGCAGCACCTTTATTAAATACTTATCTACATGGTAGTACTTCATGAATCTTGGCTTTTTCTTTACCACCACCATTCCCCACAAATTCAGATCATTGGATAATGACCTTTTAATGCTTATGACTCTGTGTCTCGTAACCCCTCTCTCTGATTGTCCTTCAGCGTTTGGTTTGCATTTTAGGCTTAAAGTGTGAAACGGACATTGATGAATGCAGCTCCCTCCCGTGCCTCAACCGCGGAGTCTGTAGAGACCGGAAAGACCGGGTAGGGGAATTCATTTGTGAGTGTCCGTCTGGCTACACAGGTAAGCGGGAAGCTTCTTGTTTGTGCGGTATAAACCTTGCAGTCATTGCAGTTTTATTGCTGAAAATCAAAACCTCAATGACGTATCTCTTCGCGCCTGTCCGAATGGCTATTACGAAGACAGGTACCAGTATTGGTGAGGATGTGGAGAAAAGAGAACTTTTGTGCACTGTTGGTGGGAAAATTGGTACAGCCACTGTAGAAAACAGTACGGAGAGTCCTCAAAAACTTAAAAATAGAAATACCACATGTTCCGATAACCCCATGTTGGGGGTGCCCAAAGGAACTGAAGTAACTATGTCAAAGAGGTACCTGCAGCCCTGTGCTCAGTGCAGCATGATTCCCACAGCCAAAGCTGTGGAAACAACCCGAGTGTATATTAAGGGATGGAGGAATGAAGTAAATGTGATGGATATGGACACAGGGCAAAACAACAACATGGGTGAAAGTTGTGGGCATTGTGCTAAGTGAGATAAGTCAGACAGAGGAAGACATGTACTATATGATCTCACTTCTCTGGAAACTTAAAAAGCCGAACGTTATCTGGTTCCTCCACCACCACCATTGCTGGTCCACGCAGCTTGGGCAGTGGGAGAAGCAGCAGCGTCCAGTCAACCCAGGTTTGCAAAGGCCCTTAGAGTACCCGCCCCCGCAGCTACAGTGCCCAAGGGGAAAGTCAGCTCCACCCAGGGGGCAGTGAAAAGGAGCCCCGGAGAAGATTGGCAAGGTTGTCAACTAAACATGCGCCTGCAAAAGTGGGAACAAAGCCCAAAGAGGTGGCAGGAAAGGATAAATCTGCAAACAAAAAAGTACAAACCAAAGGGAAAACCAAGGGGAGCAAAGGGAAAACAGGCCAGAGTGGCTAACCAGGACACCAAAGATCTACCTGCGTAAAATGAGGAGAGCCCTGACCAGTGTGGCTCGGTCGGTTGGGTGTCCTCCCACAAAAGCGAAAGGGCGCCAGTTTGATTCCTGGCCAGGGCACATGCCTGGGTTGTAGGTTCCAGACATGTGCTAGAGGCAACCAATCAATGTTCTCTCTCTGTCCTCGTTTCTCCCCCCTTCCTCTCTCTCTCTGAAAATACATAAAATCTTTAAAGAACAAGCACATTCCAGCTTTGGGTGAAGCAGGAGAGAAAGAATCCAAGTCCGATTACTATCACATATCATATACCATGCTTTCTCAGTGGTCCCTGGCTCCCTTCTTGTACAATCCAGAGGAGTATTTTTATCTACTGCCATAAATGCAAGAGTTTTAGTAGCTCTAGAAACATTTCTTTTAATGTAAAATTTTTAAAGAGGTAAAATCAGTTGCTGTTTTGGGGGGGTTTGGCAGCAGGGTTTGTTTTGGAGTTTTTTTGTTTCTCCTTGTAGAACCAGAAAATAGTGGGATAGTGGATGTGGTAGGCCTGGGTTTTTGTGGGTGTCAGTATACGGATCAGCAGCTGGGGGCACTTTTGCAGCCTGTAGCACAAAGCAGGCTAAATGCAATCTGGAGTCAGCCATGCATTGCTCACATCTTGAACATTTTACAATGACTTCCATTCTCACGTTTTTGGTAGCACTGTTTGCTAAAGAAAACCACTCTTTCATCTCCACTCTCTGTCAGACTTTTGTGCAACATCTTTGGGGCCGTAGCGTGGCTCTCCTAGTAACTTGGTTCATGTGCTATGAAAGCTCAAAAATACGGTTATGTAGTATATGGGATATTAAATTGAGAAGAGGTGCGACTTTGATGTAACAGCATATCAACATTTGAAAATATCGGTAGATAGTCTGTCGAGGAGAATTAGCCTCCAAATTTTAAGCTGGAAAGTCACCGGAATAACTATTTAGAAAAAAATCACAACTACATAACTCCAGGGGTTTTTTTATGTATGTTAAAAATTGTGTACAAGTTGAAATATCTGCGTCCTTATCCTCCAAACAAGCAATAAAATCTCGGTGATGGAAGAAAAAAAAAACACTGACCTCATGGAAACGGAGAATAGAAGGGTGGTTGCCAGAGCCTGGTGGCTGGAGGCATTCAGGCTGTGCTGTTGTTCACGGGTGTAAACCTGCAACTAGTAGATAAATAAGTCATGTTAAAGACTGAAGGAATAAACTCAAAAAATGGGTGAACAGCTAGCAAACAAACAATATGATGAAAAATTAACACAGAATCGCACTTACCTTCTTAACTAAAATTGGCTAGATATTCATGGTTGTCATTTTCCATTGCACATTGAAAATATCAAATTTCTTTCTAAAAAAATTTGCACTTCACAGAATAGAAGAAAACATTTCATTTCAATGTTTGGCATTGAAAGAGAGAAATTTGGCAAAGAGAGAAAAAATTTTAAACACGTTAGCCATGATTTCCAATTGTGCCGCTTTATACCTCAACAACTTGCTTGCATAGTATTTGTCTTAAATTCCTCTGGCCCACACATTGCATGATTCTTTGCAGGTCAGCTATGTGAAGAAAATATAAACGAGTGTAGCTCCAGTCCCTGTTTGAATAAAGGAGTCTGCACCGACGGCTTGGCTGGTTATCACTGCGCATGTGTGAAAGGTTACATAGGTAGGTTGTTTCCATTCCCCCTGTGTTGCCTTAAAGTCCTAGAAAGCACCACAAATTATTACATATACTAATGTTATCTGTTAATGTTCTTGTTTTTGAGGAAACTGTCTCAAGGTATTCAGAGGTAAAAGGGCACCACATTTGCAATTTAATTCTAAACAGTTAAGAAAAAATAGTATGTTTATGTGTGCATTGTATATTTGTAAAGAAAGACAGAGAGATGGAGAGAGAGAAGACAAGAGTTCATATGGTAAAACAGACATTCAAGAAGGAACTAGGGATAAATCATAGAAGATTATATGGCAAACAGATGCTAAATAATATGGTTAAATATATATATATATATATAAAATTGATAAAGAGGAAGTCCAAAAAAGAAAAAAGTCAAGATCAAAGAAACAGAGGAAAATTTTGTAGTAAATTGTAATTTTATTTTTTAACATTATCTCAATTAGATGACCATTAACTAAAGTTACTTACAGAAATACATTAGGTAGAAAGAGTAGATTATCAAAAAGCAGTCCAAAAATGACTCACAGAAGCCAGAGCTCGTTAAAGAATGGAGCTCACGCCAGTTTGGTAGGCCAGTCACAGCCTCCACATAGAAGCAGAATCCTGCAAAAAGCCAGCACTTGGATGGCAGTTCTCTCCGAAGGGATCACCATCTGGGCTCTTTCTCGTCCTCAACCACCCCCAGGTCTGCACTGTGAAACAGAAGTCGATGAATGCCAATCAAGCCCCTGCTTAAATAATGCAGTCTGTGAAGATCAGGTGGGGAGGTTCTTGTGCAAATGCCCCCCTGGATTTTTGGGTACCCGGTGTGAAAGAAACATAGACGAGTGTCTCAGTCAACCGTGCAAAAATGGAGCTACCTGTAAAGATGGAGTCGATAGCTTCAGGTAAAAGACCAGGTCTGGTTCTTCCCACTCTTTTTATTTACTGAACTCTTCAGTGATTCTGTGGTCTTTATGGAGTATTATTTTGAGTCCCAGGTCAGCCATTCCCAAATTCTAGCCCCAAAATAGGCTACAGCAGAAAATCCCCAGCACCTGAGGTTCTGATTCACTAAGTCTGTGTAGAATCTGTCATTTTAAAGTAGGCAAACTGCGTGATTTAAATTCCCCAGGGATGGCAGTGCATAGCCAGATTTGGGAACTGGACCCCTGCAGATACCCAAATTCATAAATGCTCAAATCCCTTCTATAAAATGGCCTAGTGTTTGCATATAACCTACTCACATCATCCCATATACTTTAAACGGTCTCTAGAGTACTTACAATGTCTATTACAATGTAAGTGCTGTGAAAATAGTCATTATACTGTGTTGTTTAGGGGATGATGACTTGAAAAAAAAGTCCGTACATGTGCAGTACAGACCCAACCAGCAACCATCAAATGCCTAATGACGCAGTTTACGTCAGCCACAACATAACTTTTTTTTTTAAGAATATTTTTGATCCGAGGTTGTTTGGATCTGCAGATGCGGGACCCGTGGATACGGAAGGCCAGTGTACCGGGAAGGCATAAACAATTAAACATTTATACAGGAAGCCAATCAGAAGCACTAGACAAGACTCATTTTCAAGTGTCTTATGTTTTAGCTGGGATTTCCACACTAGATAAATTCAGAAGGAACAGAGCGATCACACTGTGCCTATGCCAGTCTGCATTCTGCGTCTGTGGTTTTCGGACAGTGCTTTTTTAGTTTAGGTAATCCTTGGTTCAAAAGCAGTCTGGTATGAATGTAAACAAACAGAATAATAAAGGCCACGCTTCCATTACTTGGTTGAAAATAGTAACGTTTATGGGGGAGAAAGACTTTGTCTTCCTGAGGCAGCCCTTAGGGTGCCTGTAGAATACAGTTTGAAAACCAATGCTGTTCTTCTCACGGTCAGGTCTGCCCTTTTCCATTCCCTTGTCCTTGTAGGATCTGTGGCTTCCACAGCACAAAAGACACACCAGTCTTGTTCGTGAAATATCAGGAAACTCTATTGTCCCCAACATGCCCCCAACTGGTTCTATAAGATAAAAGCAAAAAAGTAATTCTGTCTGGTGTGGCTCGGTAGATTGAGCACCAGCCTGGGAACTAAAGGGTCACCGGTTCAATTTCCAGTCAGGGCACAGGCCTGGGTTGCAGGCTGGGTCCCCAGTTGCAGGGTATACAAAAGGCAACCACTCATTGATGTTTCTCTCCCTCTCTTTCTCTCTCCTTTCCCCTCTCTCTAAAAAATAATAAATAAAATCTTTTCTAGAAAAGCAAAAAAAATTAAAGTCTATTCCAGTTGCAACATTTCCCAGTCCTCTTCGGGTTCAACCCACTTCCATTATGACCTTCCACAAACAGCCAGGGCACTGTGAGTTCTGCCAGTGAGACTTTCAGTCTCGACATGGAAATGGGTCTTATCAGCGTAGCATCATCTTTTCATGGGCTTTTTACATCTTCCACATACAACACCTACCACAGACAACGAGAAACTTAGAATTGAACAGCAGAGTTCCAAGTTCTCCCCAGGGTCCCAAACAACTGATGATACCAACTTTGTCTAAATCCTAACTGGGGGAAAGGTGAAGGTGAGCTCTCCTAAGTAAACCTATTTCCTAGACAAGGTTATTGGATTGCTACAATAATACCAAACAAGAGAAGATAAAGTGAAATTCCAGCTGATATAGACATCATCCAATGCAGAGAACTCAGCAAAGATCCCCCAACTGATACCTTCTTTTAAACCCCAAATATTACTTGTTCATAATAGTCACCTTTAGGCCAATATCAAAGAGGTCCCCATATGAATAATAAACTACTTACAATATTAACTGCCATTTATCTGACAAGTCCTTTAAGTTGGAAAATATTTTAGAAATATAGAAAATTACAAAGAATAATAAAAGTCATGTACTCATCACAGTGTTATCAAACCTTAACATTTGGTATATTTGATTCACATTTTCTGTTTTAAAGAATATGTTCTCAATATAGATTTGGAGTTTCTCCAGTACACGCCCCCCACACACACAAACATCATCTTCTTCCCCAGCGGTCACCACTGCCCAAAAGTCAGTGCATATCTTCCTCATTCAGAGTTTATACTTTACTACATATAAGACTCCACAGACAGTATATAGCATTGTTTCACATGTTACAGAAATAGTAGAAGACTTTTGCCCTGGCTGGTGTAGCTCAGTGGATTGAGTACAGGCCTGCAAACCAGAGCATCGCCGGTTTGATTCCCAGTCAGGGCACAAGCCTGGGTTGCAGGCCAGTTCCCAGTATGGGGTGTGCTAGAGGCAACCACACATTGATGTTTCTTTCCCTCTCTTCCTCCCTCCCTTCCCCATCTCTCTAAAATAAATAAATAAAATCTTTTAAAAAAATAGTAGAAGACTAAATCCTCTTGTGAGCTCTTTTCAATCAACATTATGTATTTTGAAGGTTGATACAGTTGGCTCTAGTTTGCTCACTTCAACTGCTGATTAGTATTCCGTTGCATGGTTGTACCGTGATTTATTCTCCCATTCTCCTCCCTGTAAACATTGAGAACATATGGCTGTGAACATTTGTTACATGTGTTTTTGTGCACCTGTGCCATCGTTGTCTCCTAGACTATGTATGTAACTAGAAATGAATAGACAGGGTTCCGGGAATGCAGACCCTTGGCTTCCCTTGACTTTGTCGAATTGTGTTCTGCTTATAATATGAGCTTTCCCGTCTCACAACACCCTTGTCAGTATTTGACATAACCAGAGGTATTTTCCATCCTGATGGGTGTAAGTGGTTTGTTGTACACAACAGCCATTGTACAGCATAGTGACTCAGAACTAAGCACTAGACTGTGTTCAAAATCCTACTCCGCCTCTTAGTAACAGGGGCTTTGCCAAATCAGCCTCTCCCAGACACGGTTTACTCATCTGTTTTAAAATGAGGACAATGATCATTACAAAAATTGTTATAAGAATTGGTTGATATAAGTAAAGCCTTCGGAATAGCGTATGGGCTTTTTTTTCTGTTTTAATTGTTGTTCAAGTACAGTTTTCTGCCTTTTACTCCCATCCCAGCCCCCCCAGTCCTCCCCGCCTCCCTCCTGTTTCCACCCCGCCCCTTGTTTCTGTCCACGTGTCCTTTATCCTTGTTCCTGCAAACCCTTCCCCTTCTCCCCTGAAATTCCCTCCCCTCTGGTCACTGTCAGCCTGTCCTCTATTTCAGTGTCTTTGGTTATATTTTGCTTGTTTGTTTGTTCTGGCTTATTTTTTTCCTAGCACTTCTATGGGGAGAGAAACTCCCAATATGTGACTAATACTTCTCCTTGACCAGAACTACCTTCTACTCTATTTTTGCTACTACAACATTTCGAATAAATGTTGTGTTAAATAGGTTTATTAATTAGATGAATTTTTAAAAGGCAGGGGAGAGCAACAGGGAAAAATTGGGACAATTGTAGTAGAACAACAATTGAAAATGTAAATAACAGTTAAAGCAATGTTTTGGTGTGGGAAATAGGTTTCGGCATTTCGGTGTTGGCAGTCCTTTGAGACCAGTTCTAAATGGGAGACGTCCTCTCAGGCCCTTCTGCAGCTGTTGTGATTGTTACATTTTGTCTTCTTTCAGGTGCCAGTGTGCAGCCGGCTTCACAGGGCCGCTCTGTGAGCTGAACATCAACGAATGTCAGTCTAACCCATGTAGAAACCAGGCCACCTGTGTGGATAAGTTAAACTCATACAGTTGTAAATGTCAGCCGGGATTTTCAGGCAGCAGGTGTGAAACAGGTATGTATGTATGTATGTAGTATTAACTAAAAATAATGCTCTTTAATAGTATCAGTTTTTACCTGAAATAAGCACGGCTTCCACACCCAACACTACAGTGAGCATTTTGTTCTTACTTAATCTTCATAGCCATCCAATACACTAGGTAATCTTATCTGTGATAGCACAAATGAGGACATGGAAACTCGGAGGTGTACCAGGGAAATGAGAAAACTGCATTTGGCAGGACTCTTCACATTCTACCTGCTTAGAAGGGACACTTGGATAAGCCATTTGATTGAAGAGGTCACAGGCCACGGACATGTTTGAGAATCAGTGCTCAACTGCTTTCTCAGCGCTGGGTCTTATAACTGCAGGACTTTTGTTGTGAGTGAAGCATGCAAGATTGGGGCAGAGCTGAATTGGTCATGAAATAGGAGTGAGCCACAGCCCTGAGTAGGGACAGAAGGGTGCCCTTCAGTTAGTCACCGCTGCTTCTCTCCCGAGTCAGTTAATCCTCTCTACGGGCCATTCTCAGTAGCATCCAGACATAGTTCATGTCTCTCATCTTTAATGACTCTCCAGTCCCACCTCTGCTCCCACTACTGCATTTCTCTGCTTCCTTTCACTACTATTTTCCTATCTTAGATAGTCACTGACTATTTCATTTTTTTTTAAAAAAAACATGCTTTATATTTTGTAAATAACATACTTTTAAATTTTGAAACTGCTCCTCAGATCATCATCTTTACTGAAATGGCTTCTTCAACAATCGTACCGTGTACCTACTGTTTACATTAGACAACCAAAAAGTGCCTTGCAAGTGCCATGGTCTGCACACTCTTCTTATTTGTTGCAGAACAGTCTACGAGATTTAACCTGGATTTTGAAGTTTCCGGTATCTATGGCTACGTCATCCTAGACGGCGTGCTTCCATCTCTCCGTGCGGTCACCTGCGCCTTCTGGATGAAATCCTCTGACGTCAACAACTACGGCACGCCGATCTCCTATGCACTTGAAAATGGCAGTGACAATACCTTCCTCCTGACCGATTATAATGGGTGAGCAGAAGTGTCAGGGAGTCTGTGCTTTGGGCTGTATCCTGGCACCAGTGAGAACTGACGTCGGGGATGAGAAGCAGGGGAGCCAGGGGCTCTGGGAGAACAGCAGGGGGATGATTAGCAACTAGAGCATGTGGATAACTTCTGTAAGAAGGCAGTTTTCATGATAATACTTTATGCATATGTTTTTCTATTTCCTAAGTATTTCCTTAGTATTTTGCTAAGTACTAATAGTCACTAAATACTTCATTCGATTTTCACTATGTCCTGAGGAACTCATGCCCATCGTACATATAGTAAAAGAAAGTTCAAAGAAACGAAATTATTTGCCCCAAATGTCACATTCTGGGCGTGGCAGAAACAAGTCTCAAATTCTGACTTTTAAGACTGTCACTCCTCCTTTTACTTATCAGGGCCTCCAAAGGTTGAGGGATTTCAGTGACAATGGTGGCCCGTTGGAGACACGTGCATTGAGTATCAGTCAGTCTATGCGCTTGGGTTGCAAGATGACATTTCTTTTTCCTTTTGGGATCAACAAATTTGAGTTGCAAGGCTCCATTCCTCTGGGATGTTAGAACTCTCAACCTCAGTTACGTCCCTGCTTTCTTTCCTACTGAGTGTTTTATTTATTTTAGATTCTTGCAGGTTAACTAATAAAATACACAGAGTTTTGCTCAAGACCCACAGACTTGGACAGGACTTCCATCATTGGTCACGTGTCCACACTACCTGTCACTGAGCTGCCCACTACATTAGCTCTATGGTCCCGTCAGAACCACTGCTCTTTGTCACATGTGGAATATGTAGCAAGGCTGAGGTTTATACCTGCAAGCTAGATAGATCCTGTGGTTTGTCACACAGCCAGTCCTCTGAGATGCACCCAAATTCATGACCGATTGCTGCTGAGCAGATTGCAAGCCTCAAAGACCCACTGAGCTCTTTCCTCTCCTCAGCCCATGGGACTCTCACTGCTCTGGTGGAAAATCTTCCCATCCTCAAACCCTGTTCTTCTTAGTGGACTTGAGCTTTCAGAAACACAATTCAAGATATTTGCAAAAACTTCCTTGAAGGCAAAAAAATGTAGAGAGAATCTGTGGCCTGCCTAAATAGGAGGAGGAAAATGGGAAAACACAGAAGGGAAACAACATTATAAAAATATTATTTCATCCTAAAGATCTTGAAATAGAGTTGAGAAGGTGCTGGGAGAGGTATTCAATAAATTATTATCTTCCTTATTGGTTTTCCCCATCTTTTTTGTTTCTCCATGGTGTTTGAAGCTATTGTACTTCAAACAGCTGATTGTCTTTGACATTTCCCTAAGTGACCTGGTTGTTGGAACCCTCTTGTAGTCAGTCACCTTTGTGACAGCTTGGACAACAGAGAGACAGTTATTTTCTGAAGTCTGTTCCTGATCTTAGAAACATTCATTTTACAAGAAGGCAACCAATCAATGCTCACACAACTCTCATTCCCTGCATTCCTGACTCACTCTCCAGAAGAGAGTGGCTGGATCTCAAACTGGACCAGCACGGCTCAGATTATCTTGTCTTACCTGGCACGCCGTGAAACACAAATATTTAGTGAGCTGCAGTAAAGGTTAATTAGTAAGTCAGATCTGCTTCTGTAAAATATGACCAAAGGGAGAAAAAGAAGTAATTACAAAGTGCTTTACCTGCATGAAAAGAAAAACAAAAAAAAAGAAAAAAACAGTAGCATATCCCAGAGGCGGGATTACAAGATATGACTAATTGATGCCTGTGTCCCCTGGAATCTCTCCACAGCTGGGTTCTTTATGTGAACGGCAAGGAAAGGATAACTGATTGCCCCTCCGTGAATGACGGCAGTTGGCATCATATTGCGATCACCTGGACAAGTGTGGGCGGAGCCTGGAAAGTCTATATTGACGGGAAGCTATCCGATGGTGGTGTGGGGCTCTCTGTCGGTTCGCCCATACCTGGTATGTCTTAGCAAAAGAAACGTAAGGTGCTAAACACTAGAGGTGGTGGTGGTGCTTAGGTGAACTTGGAGTTTGCCAGCTTTGTTGTCTTTGGTTTTAGACAAAGGTCCATGATTATCTTTTTATTGACTATGCCCCAATTATCCAGACTGCACGTTGTGAGAAGCTTTTTTTAGGCAAGCTTCTCGCTTCTCTGTGTAAAAGGTGCCAGGAGCTTTCTGTGCTGACAGTGGGTGGGTACCAAACTGTCTTCCAAGGGGTATTTTAATTGCTGATGTTTTTGTTTGTTGGTTTTGTTTTGTGGTCACAATGCACAGTATACAAGTATTTCCCGTATACAAGCTGGAACATTCTTAACAGCTATCAGACTTCTGTGTTCTTTTTCCAATAGAACCCAAACTCTCTTCCAAAACTCAAACTTTCTTCTAAAAATACTTTTAGAAATGTATTCAAAGTTTTAGTTTACAGGAATGCAAAAGCATTAGGCAATCCAGGGTTCTCAGCATTGTATATGGCAGGAAGCTTCCTCTATCTTGATTCTTCTATAACATATGTCGAATGAGGAGGAATGAATGGATAGCAGTTTTCTTCAGCAAATATAGAAACATTGTCAGTGTTTCTATGGGAAATGGCATTATCAGGTGAAAAGGGTGGTGTTTTCTTTTTGTGTATAACTTAGAGGGTTCTCATTTTCAACGATCTCGTCTCTGGGTGATGGGGTGGCAAGGGACTTCTATTTTCTTCTTTATTCTATTCTGATATTTTCATAATGAGCATGCATTTCATCTATGTCTTAGAAAAGAGCATTTGTAGGTTTAAACACTGAGAGAAGAGTAAAAAGTGAGTTAAAGGAAGAGAGGAGAAAAGGAAACTGTAGTAGTATCTACCCAGGGAGATGGTCGTCTGACCACAAAGTAAGAATGAATTGACGTCCATAAATATTGCAAAGCTCAATTGACGGTGCTCAGTGAATGGCTGGTTTCAGCTTGGATGACGTGGTTTATTGAAGAGCCCGTGAACTAAGATAGGAGTCCTAGGGAAAGCACAAATCATCAGAGGAAGACTTGGAGTAGGGGCAGATCGCGTATTTGGTTTTAGACATAGTGAGTTTGAATTCTAATCACAGGAATGCATGCAGCTAAAGACATAGGTTGACAGGACTTTATGAGTAAGTCAAATAGACAAGGTTGTTTTTAGTGACAAGGCGTGGTTGGCAAGGATTCATTCAGCACGGTGGACACAGAATGCTGTCAGCTCTGTCCATGGATAACAGCCTTTCTGGGAAGCAACTTAGAAACTCTCATCAAGAGCCTTAAAGAAACCCTTCACCTGCAATCAACAGTTCAACCACCAGGAACAAAATATTTACGTTAATATATTTATCTCCGTGTAGCCAGTTAGAAGTGGTTGTGAAATTAATGGAGCAAATTATAGATTCTTGTACATTCGTATGATAAAACAGCTGTCAAAACCCATGAAATGAAAACAGGTTCAAGAAGAAAAGCAAATTTGAAACGTCATGTGTAGTGTGATCCAGAGTTGTGTGTCTTAAAATATCATGCACACACACACAATAACCTAGAAGGAAATACAAAAAGTATTAAATGATTATTTCTAGGCAGGGTAGATTCTTTATACTTTTTCCCCAAAATTTCCTTTCATGTGTATTTATTGATTTTTAATTATTAACTTTATAAGAAAAAGGTGTAGGTTGGAAAATCACAAAAGAGGGTCCCCAGACACTGGTTAGCAGGTGGGCGAGATCGGAGGACAGTTGAAGGCAGAGAACAGGCCAGGGTGGGGGCCTGGCTGCGCCAGCATCTGGCAGGCAGGCAGAGAAGGGAGCAGAAAGGTTCCAAGAGAGCCAGGAGAGGATGTCGTCACGGAAACCAAGTGCCATCAGCAAGGTTCCTGGCAGGAAACAGGTGGCACACACAAGGAGGATAACTGAAGAGTTGAACGAAGGGACTATTTTCAAAGGTATTGTATGATCAGGCTTAAGAGAACCAAACTATGGAAGTAGAAAGTAGGCTATCAACAATGGAAAGTCATCAGGGATGGGCCTGAGGTGACTGGGACTGGAGAGCCATTGCCAGAATTGAGGCAAACCTGTAGCAACGGAAAGAAATTGCCCAGCGGGAACAATGGTGTTAGACCAAGAAAAGCAGCCACTGCCCTCTGCTGCCTGGGAGGAAAGTATCCAGGGTATTAAACTTCTTCCTAACCCTATTTTCTTACCTTGGGCTGGTCCTCCTGTTGGCCACACACAAACAGAAGCCAAAGGGAGAAGGAAATGAGGTGGTGCAGTCCTTACGTGTCAACCTTCGGGGACACAGAGCAGAGTAGAGAAGGGTGGAGGTCAGTTCTGGGGAGATAAACACAGACCACCCAGTACAACAGAGCAGGGGGTCAAGGAGAATGAAAAGTCTGTAGAAACACGATACAGAGAAATCACCAGAGGTGAAGCTTGAAGAATTTCCATTGGAGTTAGCAATTAGGCGGCCACTGGCAACTTTAGAAGGCTCCTTGGAGTCGGTGGTAGCAATGTAAGCATCGCAGGGTTCAGAATAAGAAGATAAAGAGCAGCAGCTGGTAGTGTCATGGAGGGTAATCTCCTAGAAGAAAGCAGGCAAAAGCGGACTTAGTATTTTTTTGACGTGAAATTTTATATGCGTATACATGTGTAGATATAGTCTTATAGCTAAATGCTTATAAATCCAATATAATATTTAAATACAACCATATTTTAACTTGTTAGACCAAACACAGAATTTGTCCTTATTGTTAAAACATGCAGTCACTGTAGATAATTGAGCTTTTTAATAATTTCCCCTGATATGTTTGCATTGGCTGTGCTTTTATTAAGTTAGCATTTTAGGACTAACCCTCAGACCAGTTCCCCCCTTTGTTCCCCTCCTCTCTCTAGGTGGTGGCGCATTAGTTCTCGGGCAAGAGCAAGACATAAAAGGAGAAGGATTCAACCCAGCAGAGTCTTTTGTGGGCTCCATAAGCCAGCTCAGCCTCTGGGACTATGTCCTGACTCCACAGCAGGTCAATTCCATTTTCAGTGTATGACAGTAATGAGCTACAAAGGTACACACCTTGTAACAATGTGAACAGCCTAATGATGCCATATCATACTGTCACCTCTGGGTTTTCAGAATTTGCCCCCAGTGTCGTTTGAGGCTATGGTCGTAGACTGAACCAGGCAGAGGTTATCTATAGTAACCTTCGATAACTCTCCTTCTCCATTTCTGGGGGATGTTTTTATATTTTATCGACGTGATTATTTTTACAAAGTCTTGCCATTTTGGAGCTGGAAAAAAAATCATAGAGAATAATACTTCCAGCCCTTCTGACTAAATATGCAGAAACTGAGGGGTGGCATTAGATTATGCAGATGAGCTAGTGGTTAAAGTCAGTCTGCAGCCCAGTGGCCTGGGTTCAAGTCCCTGTTTTCCCATGAACTGGCCATGATGATTGAACATGTTATTTTGAACATGTTATTCCCTCTCTCTAAGCTGTAGGTTGGTTGGTTGGTTATATCTATGAAGACAAACAGAACCGTGGAGTGCACCTTGGGCAGGATTAAAATGTATAATCGTGGTGTAGTTTGACTCACAGTAAGGGCTTACTAAATGCTTGCCCTTTTTATGAGAGGCAGAACTCGACTAAGCCTTTACTGCCTCAACTTAAATCAGAGATAGAAGGGCAGGAGAATGGAGAGAGGGAACCTCTAACACCTTAACCCACTGCAGACCTTTAGACAGGTTCTACGTGTAGAATTTCAGGGTTTCCAGCAACTGTGAAAGCTCTGGGGGAATGACTGGGGTGGAGAAGAGGGGAGAGGCAGAGAGTTTTCCTGTTGCCCTAAAGTCATACTTTACAAAAGCCTCCTTCCCTGTCACCCAGCCCCAAATCTGCAGATGTGTTTAACAGGGCTAAACGAAGATACGATAACGCCATCTCAGAGAAACAAGTAAGGCTTAACTAAAAGCGTGTTTTTAAACTTTCAGGTGAAATCCTTGGCTACCTCCTGCCCAGAGGAACTCGCTAAAGGAAACGTGTTAGCCTGGCCTGATTTCCTGTCAGGAATTGTGGGGAAAGTGAAGGTCGATTCCAAGAGCATCTTCTGTTCCGGTTCGAGTTTCCTTCTTCCACAGACTCTGCTGTCTCTTGACTGCTCCGGGGCTTTCTAGCAAAAAGACACCATTTGAAATTCTCTGTCAGTCAAAGAGTGTGTGTCTACTAGTCATTTGTTTAATTAGTAAATCCTTTTTACCCCACTTCATCCATTAAGTTTTTTACTACTTAAACACATTCCGTGTAGCAGAGTACAAGTGTACAAATTAATTGTGGAACAAAGTTGGGCAAGGGTAGAGAGAGAAGGAAAGCAGGATGAGAAGATAAACGTGGTTCATTGTTTAAATACCCCCCGCAGTCCCATCCTCCCACTTGGGGTGGGCGCCCTCTCGGCTCTGCACCTGCCAGCAGGCGTCCAGGGGCAGGTGACACAAGGGACATTACCGCCCTCACACCAAATAGTCAAGCTCTGAATGATCCAGACTGCCTCCTAACGTTCAGTGTCTTTAACCTGAGGTCCTAAAGGAGTCCTATAATGTATGATTTTCGATTACTTATAAGAACATTTTATTCCTATTCCTAAAATACTGGTTTGTCCTTTAAAACCATTTAGCAGATTCTGCTGAAAGAGGGAAAGTTGTTTGTTGATTTCAAGAATTCTTTTCTAGTAATTTTGCTTGCCAGTGATTTCCATATCGGTAGAGTGGCTCTCAATTGCTGATATTACACATAATTAGAAAGCCTTGACCTAGTCCTACCGCACTATGTTGCTGACAAGCTCCGTACCTCTGTTCTTTTCCCTCAGATTGCCCACCATTAGAAGGGTCCATACCTCATCTGAGAACTACATCAGCAGACTTAAAGCCAGGCTCCAATGTCAGCCTCTTCTGTGATCCGGGCTTCCAGATGGTCGGGAACCCTGTGCAGTACTGTCTGAATCAAGGACAGTGGACACAGCCACTCCCTCACTGTGAACGTGAGCTGCCCCTATCAGAGGCATTTTAGTAGCCCTTGAAATATGCTGGAACCATGAGAACACTTTTCAGGAATGCTCTATAAAAGCTCGACACTTCACAGCTGCAAATAAAGAAAATATTTATTGAACGCTTCCTTTGTGCAGTGAAGCCTGTGGGCGGGGTACCCTGAGGGAGGTGGGTGATGAAGATCCAAACTGTGAACACGCCGCAGTTGGCACGGGAACTGGGTGGGAGGAAAAGACAGGCATGGGGGCTGAAACTCAGAGGGAGGGGGGTCATTGCTGGGTGGGAAAACAGGAAGACATCTCTTGAGTTGGGTGCATCCATTCATTTATTTATTCAACAATTTTTAAAGTGCCTAGGATGTGCTAGACAGCGATTGGGAAAAAAGTCCCTCCTACGAAGTTTACAATGTAGAAAAAGCAAAAAAAAAAAAAAAGTAAATATAATACTATTTACTTACATTAAATAAGAAACAGCAAGGGCCAGAAATAAGGGATATAAAGAAAAGTAGAGCCAGGTAGGGAAATACAGAGTGAGGGGGTTGGGCAGAAGCGAGACTGCTATTGTCGATGGGATTGTCAGAGACGTTTCTCCATGGTGTCCGCTCCCACCTGGCATAGCATGAATCTTTCCGTCACTGGTCTGTCTACTCCCTCTAGGTAGTAGAGGTTTTGTCTGTCCGGTTCATTACAGTAACCTCAGCACCTAGGACAGTGTCCAGCAGACAGCAAGACCTCCATAAATTTTTTTCTAATAATATTTTTATTTTTCAATTACTGTTGATGAACAATTTTATATTAGTTTCAAGTGTACAGCCCAGCGATTGAACACTTATGTAACTTAGAAAGTGATCGCCCTGGTAAATCTAATACCTGTCTGGCACCGTACATAGTTATGACAATATTACTGACTATATTCCCTGTGCTGTACTTTACATCCCTGCGACTATTTTGTAACTGCCCATTTGTACTTCTTGATCTCGTCGCCTCTTTCACTCAGCCCCCAAACTCCTTCCCCTTTGTCAACCATCAGACATGTTTTCCGTGTCTATGAATCTGTTTCTATTTTGTTTATTTTGTTCTTTTGATTCTGCATGTAAGCAAAATCCTATGATATTTGTCTTTCTCTGACTTGTTTTGCACAGCACAATACCCTCTCGGGCCATCTGTGTTTTCACAAATGTTAAGATTTCAGTCTTTTTTAATGGCCATGTAATAGTCCATTGTCTATATGTATCACATCCTCTTTATTCATTTGTTTGTTGATTGGACACTCAGGGTGCTTCTATAGTTTGGCTATTGTAAATAATGCTACAATGAACATATGAGGGGGAGCCCAGGAAAAACCAGAACTGTCTTCTGGAGGGCAGGTCCCTTGTAGTACAGGCTTCCCCCACTAGTTGAGTGTTCTAGGAACCCCTCTGTATCAACGTTCTAGCTGGCATTATTGTGAGAAGTTGTCTTTGGCTTCAATGAATTTGTTTTTGAAGACTCAACACGTTTGCCAACTTCATGATGGGTGATTTACTAATGCACCTGCCCACACCATACTGAGTGTTCAGAAGTTTTTGACCAAGAATGGCATGACTCCTGTCCCCCAACCTCACTATATACCCAGCCTTGCCCTGAGAGACTTCTTGTTGTTTCCCTGGATGAAATGTTTCCCCAGAGGGAAACATTTTGCCAATGTGGAAGAGGCGTAACAAAAAAACAGCAGAAGTACTAAAAGACATCAAAATTAATGAGTTCAAAAACTATTTTGAGCAGTGGAAAAAATGTCTTGATAGGTGTATTGCATCAAATCAAGGGTTCTTTGAAAGTGACTGAGGCTTAAATATATAAGAACAAATACAGAATTTTTAATAAATAAATTCTAATATGGGTGCGTATGTCTTTTTGAATTAGTGTTTTGGGTTTTTCAGATAGAGATCCAAAAGTAGAATTGCTGGGTCCTACTATTTTTTATGATATAAGTATTTTTGCCCCAGCTTTTTATTTTCATTTTTATGAGCTATCTGCTCCATTCATTTACTTTTAGTCTATGTGTGACTCTTGATCTGAAGTGGGTCTACTGTAGGCAGTACATGTGTGAATCTTGTTTCCTGATTCCTTTGGCTGCACTGTCTTTTGATTAGAGCATTTCACCCATTTGTATTTAAAATAATTGTTGATAGACATGTATTTATTTCCATCTTATAGTTCCCATTCTTTATCTCTTTTTTTCTTTCTAAAGAAGATCATTTATCATTTCTTGTAACAGGTTTATGAAATCCTTTCGCTTTTTCTTGTCTGAGAAGCTCTTCATCTGTCCTTTGATTCTGAATGATATCTTTACTGAGTAGAGTCATCCTGATTTTAGGTCCTTGCTTTATGCCACTTTGAGTGTTTCATGCCAGTCCTTCCTGGCCTGCACGGTGTCTGTTGAGAAATCTGCTGACAGTCTTACGGGAGCTCCCTTGCAGCAACTAACTGATTTTCTCTTGCTGCTTTTACGATTCTTTCTTTGTCTTCTATCTGTGGCATTTGAAGTATGATGTATCTTGGTGTGAGCCTTTTTCAGTTCATCTTGTTTGGGACTCTGTGCACTTCCTGGACTTGTGTGCCTATTTCCTTCACCAAGTTAGGGATGTTTTCTGTCATTGTTTTTTCAAATAGGTTTTTAATTCCTCACTCCCTTCTCCTTCCAGCACCCCATGATGCAAACATTGGTATATTTGATGTTATCCCAGAAGCCCCTTAAACTATTCTCATTTATTTTGGATTACTTTTCTTTTTATTCTTTTGATTGGGTGTTTTCTGCTAATTTATCTTCGAAATCCCCCATTCAGTTCTTTGCTTCATCTAATGTACCGAAGATTCCTTCTGGTGTATTCTTCATTTCTGACTGGCCCTTTTTTATGTTTTCTATTTCCATTTTTATGTTTCCTATCTCTTTGTTGTAGTTCTCACTGAGTTGATTTATTCTTCCCCTAAGTTCATTGAGCATCCTTATAACCAGTATTTTGAACTCTGCATCTGGCAGATTTTATTTACTTCTATTGCTGGAGTTTTGTCCTTTCATTTGGAACATACATACTTGTCTCTTCATTTTGGCTGCCTCTCCCTCTTTGTTCCTGTGTATTAGGTAGAGCTGCTACATCTCCTGGTCTTGGTAGAGTGACCTTATGTAATAGGTGCCTTGTGGAGCCCAGTGGCACAGGCTCCCTGGTCACCCAACCAGGGCACCCCATGTGTGCCCCACCACCAAGCTGGGCTATGGGAACCCTCTTATTGTAGTTAAGCTTTGATAATTGTTGGTATGTCAGCAGGAGGGATTACATCCAGATCATTTGGCTACAGGAACTGGCTGCAACTATAATAGAGGAGAACTGCTGTGTAGAGACCCACCCCAGGAAGCAGGACTCACTTCAGTGGGGCTCTGGTGCCCGCTGAGTCTGCCTGCTTGTGGAGGTGGCTGGGTGGTGCTCTGGTGTGATGTGAAGATGTCCACTAGACGCTCTGGTTCTGGAGCCTCCCGGGAAGTACAGGCTGAGGTCAGCAGCTGCCTGTGCCTGCCCTGAGCCACCTGGTATGAGCTACAAGGTGATCTGTTGATGGTTGCTACTTGTTCAGGGCTTGGAGGTACACAGGAGAGCCTAAGCTGCAAATTGAGGCTGGGTGCTGCTAATACTGGGTTTGGGGCACTTAGCAAGAGGTGCAGAGCACCCCAAGGCCAGATGTTGTTTGTTTGTGGCTTTTGACTTTTGAGAGATTTTAGGAATGTCTCAAGTGTGAACCGAGACAGGCCATTTGTATGGAAATGTTACTGTAAATGGTGTGGGTTGGTCTGAGAATGTTGGATGGGGTGAGGTCTCAGCAAATCACCAGGGAGGAGTGAACAGTATGAACCAGGCTGATGGAGACCCAGATGAGGGGCCGGCCTCTGCCAGCACTTCTGTCTGGGAGGAAGCTGCTCCTTCAGCCCTTGCTCTGAAGCCAGATAACTGAGTCCTTTCCGTTTGTCTTTGGTGCCTTTTGAGCTACTGCCCCAGTGCTGGAGGTCAGAGGGAGTGAGTCTTACTAAGTCTGGGCACAGGTCCTTTAACAGAAAGGGCTCTAGAAACCCTTTGTCTCGCTCAGCCACAATCCCCATTAGTTTTTATAGCCAAGGTTATGGAGCTTCCCTTCCTTGCCCTAGAACGCTGGGCTGGGGTGGGGGTGGCAAGTAGGAGGCTGAGACCCCTTGCTCCTTAAGGGGGAGCTCTGCAGCCAAGATACCCTCCCAATTATTCACCGCCACACGTGGGTATGGGACCAGTCAGTTCTGCCTCCCTGACTGTCCCACCAGTTTTGATGTGGCTTTTTCTTTATATCCTTAGTTCTAGGACATCTGTTCAGCTAGACTTCAGGTGGTTCTCAGTAATGATTGTTCTGTAGTTTCGTTACAATTTTGATGTGGTCATAGGAGGATGCGAGTACCACATCAACCTACTTCACCATTTTAATTGGAAGCCTCCATAAAAACTTTTAAGTGGATGAATTGCATGCCTATTCTGAGCCAGAGAAGGACGTGCTGGGTCCTGAGGGCACAGGCATGGCTACAGGCTGCTACCACCCCTAGGGCACTCTCAGCAAATGCTTGTGGGCCACGAAAAATGCATGCTTCACTACACGTTCAGTGTACACAAAATATTCTTTGCGCATTTAGTTCGTAATGTACTTGTGTCCTTCTGGTCACATTACAGGCATTAGCTGTGGGGTACCACCCTCTTTGGAGAATGGCTTTTATTCAGCCGAGGACTTCCATGCTGGCAGCACAGTGACCTACCAGTGCAACAGTGGCTACTATCTGTTGGGTGATTCGAGGATGTTCTGCACAAATAACGGGAGCTGGAATGGCATCTCACCATCATGCATTGGTGAGACAGACATTGGCAGTTACTGTGTTGAGTTGTTCAAACTCTATGGGAGATAGTCATCCCAAATTTTTGAGACTCTGTCATGGTATTCCTTTGTTCACGTCATCTCATCCCAGTAAGCTCCGGGCAAACCATAATGGCAAAGCAGCTGTCCTCAGAGGTGCCAAAAATGTTTTAAATTATTGCCAGGCTCCATATTAAGAGTATCTGTGTTTCTCTGTTCTTCTGCTTACCCACCTATAAGCTAGGGAAATAAGAGCTTTCATTGTATATCTGCAGTGTCACAATGACTACTATCCTGAAATTTTATATAGAAAATAGAGTGTCATGCAGAAAGTGATCCACAATAATTTAAAAATAAAAACAAGTGGTTGATGCATGAGAAAAATTAACTTTGACCTGTCCTCATTTCAGATGTTGATGAATGTGCACTCGGGTCAGACTGTAGCAAGTACGCTTCCTGCCTGAACACAAATGGATCCTACACCTGTGTGTGTCTCCCCCTCTACACAGGGGACGGCAAACGCTGTGCAGGTAACTAGTATTCATGTAACTGGGAAGGTCACTTCAATGTGTTACTCAAGTATATATTTGCACTGTATGTTATTTGAAAATGAGATAATATTTCCAACCTTCAAGGGAAGATGGAGAAGATAAAGTACCTTTAAAAAGCCCCATAAGTAACAACGAAAGGGGCTTTAAATTAGCACTGTGTCTCTCCCAAACTCCCAGTTGCTGAATAACAAAACTGAGAGCCAACTAGATCTCTAGACTGTTAAAGAAATACCTGCATGGTAGAAGAGTAATAGTGAATGTAGAAATATAATCAATGGCTTCCACTGCCTGTCTAAAAATGAAGATGCATTATCACATCTCCATCATCAGTATCTTTCCTCTGCCTCAGCCACACAGAGTAATATCATTGGGAAAAAGTGGACATCTTGCCTTTCCCTGTCTCTAGATTTTGTGAAAGCTTTGATAGTATCTCTCAACCCATCAATATTTTTCTATGTTTATTGTGAGAAAATAAAGGAAACAATAAAGAGGAATTGTCAAAATCCAGTCTTATAATTGCATTGACTTTTTGAGAGCGTTTCATTGAAAGTCTTCGGCTTTTATAGCCAAAATGCTCTCCGGAAAGATTGAATCAATATATCTTCCTTTTGTAAGAATTCAACATTATAGTCCCTTCTGCTACTCAAAGGTAGCCCCAAATCTCCCTTTACTCATTTCCTTTCCTAAAAGTGATGACTGGCCCCCAATTTGCATGTAGCAGGGGCTCACGAGCTGTAGTCCGTTTGAAAAGTCTGGGGACTTGTCTTAAATGTCCTCTGGACCAGCTGGAGAGAATGTCAGTTATTCTTAAAACATGGGTATGAGTTTAGGGGAAGTCAAAGGGGCTGAATCCCTGTGAAGCCATGCCCGGCTCTACCACAACCTTCCCAGTAAACAGCTCCCTTTTTGGCCAGATAAATTTTGTATATCTGTTGCTAGTTGTTGCTGTTTCAAAATACTGTTTAAATGCCTATCAATTTTCTGATCTAATCATTCAGGATCTCCCTGGCTTTCATGTGTCTCCCTTCAAAAGCCGGGGTTTTTTGTTTTGTTTTGTTTTGTTTTTGCTGGATGTAATTGGTACCTTACCCATAGTGGAATTACTGAATGGTTGTATGAAAGCCATATATTCCTCCCTCTAAACCTTTTCTCCATTTCAAGAACCTATAAAATGTCAGGCTCCAAGAAATCCAGAGAATGGCCACTCATCTGGTGAGATTTACACGGTGGGTGCCGAAGTCACATTTTCATGTGAAGAAGGACACCAGCTGAATGGAGCCACCAAAGTCACGTGTTTGGAGCCTGGAGAATGGAGTCATCCGGTACCAAATTGTGAAGGTATGTTCAGTCTGTTCCCCACGGTGATGGTGTTCAGCAATCCTAGACACTGGAGGGGTAGAAATGTCAGGGGTTATATTGCGTCAACGTTTTTGGTATTTAAAAATCCATTAGGCTCATACTGAAACATGAGCTACCCTTGAACTTTGAGAGATTCTGTACACATTTACTAAGAAAAGCCATGCTGTTGGTTTTCCCTTCTCTTAGCTGTTTCCTGTGGAACACCAGCTGTTCCCACAAATGGTGCCGTGGATGGATCAGCGTTTACCTATGGCAGTAAAGTAATGTATAGGTAAGTGTCTGAGATTAAAAGTACGTTGTAGAAGTGGTTGGTGAAATGCTGGTGGTGATAATACTGGAAGAAAGGAGGAAGAAGAATCCCAGAAGATGGTTTAGAAGTAATATGGAAATAATTGAACTGTGTGTAGGATGAAGAAATTAAATCCAACAATCAATCTAATGGTCATCATATGTAGAACCCTTAAATGACAGCAACCTATCATTGCTGCCAGCACCTCCTGGAGGAGCGCTAAGAATGGATGCCTTGTACAAAGGCCCTGCAAACCAATTAATAGTCTTGGTTATGAGCTGGAGCTTTGCATCCATATGATACTATAATGGTGGATACACGTTGTTATATATTTGTCAAAACCCATTGAATGTGCACCACGAAGAATTAGCTGTAATGTAAATGATGGATTTGGGGTGATAGACATGTTAATGTGGCTTATGATTTTAACAAATCTATCTCTGTGGGGCAGGAGGGCGATTGTGGGAGAGGCTGTGTCTATGTGGGGGTAGGAGGTCCCTGGGAATGAACTTTCCGTACTTCCTGCTCAATGTTGCTAAAACCCTGAAACTGCATAAAAGTTGACTAAAAATATGAAAATTGGATATTTAAGAAAATAAGCTGGAGCTATGGCTCCAAACCTAATATTTTAGGGACTAATATTAGAACAGACACTCTCGGACCAAGAATGCCATGTTTGTTGCTACTCTGTGATGCAAACTAGAGGCAACAACTCTTTAAATCTGCCTTCCCACTTATCCTCCCAGCCAGACGACCAGGGAAGAGGTGCAGTATTGAACCTTGAAAAAAGATTTTCAGGCATCATTTAAGGAGGAAAACAGAACTCTTCCAGTGTGGATAAATTCTCAATATTTTTGGAGGTTTCGGCACAAGTAAAATTATGCAAAGTAAAGCAAACTATATTCTGTTCTCTTCCCTTATCTTCTTTAGGTGTGACGAAGGTTATACTCTGGAGGGTGATAGAGAATCATCCTGTCTTGCTAGTGGTTCTTGGAGTCATTCTCCTCCTGTGTGTGAATTGGTCAATTGTTCTAGCCCCGGAAACATAAGCCACGGGAAGTACGTTTTGAGCGGGCTTACCTACCTTTCCATGGCGTCTTATTTCTGTGACAGTGGATACAGGTAAGTCCACAGCCGCCAGCCCAGCTTCCCACAATATGCAGTTACTCGATTATTTGGTTAATAGAATTTATTTGCATGTGACTGGCTGACTTTCAGTACAAGTCTCTAAGTGTAAAAGATATTCTCAAATTTGTACGCTTCCTGAGGCCTGGCTTGTAGTGAATACCCATGGAAATATTCCATCTGGAAGCACTACTTTAATTGCTATAAACATTTAGACATTAAAAATGAAAGCAAAAAGTGCCGTGAAGCATAAGACAATGTCTGGGTGTTTTGGTAAATGATTCAGCAAGCTTACACTCAGCATCACATGGGATGTTATAAAAGCATGTCCGAGTAAGGGCCTGAGTCCCTGATACTGTAAGCGATTAATTTGGGTAATGTGTGTGTGTGTGTGTGTGTGTGTGTGTGTGTGTGTGTTCAAACAGAAGAGACGATAGATTCAGTCTGTGATCAGCCCTTATTATATGGGGCTTAAAATCTTAAAGGGACTTATCTAAAAAAAGATAAAAAATATGAACAATGAAAAGACAGCAAACTCACAGTTATTAACAACCACACCTAAAACAAAAGCAAACTAAGAGGACAGCTAGATCAGGAGCAGAACCATAGAAATGAAGATCACATGGAGGGTTAGCAACAGGGGAGTGGGGGGAGGAGAAGGGGGGAGAAGGTACAGAAAATAAGTAGCATAGACGGTAGGTAGAAAATAGATAGGGGGGAGGGCAATAATAGGGAAATACAGAATCTAAAGAACTTGTGACACATGGTCATAAACTAAAGGGGGGGAATGGTGGGGGGAGGGGTATGCAGGGTGGAAGGGAACGAAGGGGGGGAATAGGACAACTGTAATGGCATAATCAATAAAATATATTTAAAAAAAGAAACTTGGCCAACAGGATCTGAAGTGAACCAGATCAAGTGAACAGAAAGCAGAGTGAGTAATTCACGTGATCAGAATCAGGTTGGCAAGTGCAGGTGGATAAGCTGCAGGATGTGAGGGCTGTAAAATCAGAGGAAGACCGGAGGTCAGAGTCAGGAGCAACACACTTCAGATCCTAGGCTCAGGGCCAGGGCAGTGCCCTTTGACCTCAGTTACCCAGAGTGTCTCCTTCACCTCTGGATCCTAGTCCGCCTGTTAACCACTTCTCATCCAGGTCGCCTGTTCACAAGGTCTGCAGTGTCCTACAACAGCACCAGTGAGCACATTTTATTTTGCACTGAGTTACGTCGTTTTAGCCCATTCATTGTTTTAAAGGGTCCATATCCTGCTCAGGTTTCCTTTGCTTTTATATACAGCAGTAAAATATGAAGAACTTTATATTTGTATACTCAGATTCCTCAAGGGCCCCCTGATCTCCTCCAAGTCCTTCCTATTTCACCTCCAAAGCAGTAAATAAATAGCCAATGAAAGAGGCGCGACCTTCTTTTCTGTAGCTTACAGGGCCCTTCCATCCTGGAATGCACGGCCTCGGGCAGCTGGAACAGAGCGCCACCTACCTGTCATCTTGTCTTCTGTGGAGAGCCGCCGGCTATCAAAGATGCTGTCATCACCGGGAGTAACTTCACTGTGGGGAACACTGTCACTTACACTTGCAAAGAGGGGTGAGTAACCCTGTGAAGGAGGGGGGCACTGGGAGCCGCTGAGGGCGGGGACGCTCCCGACCTCGGAGATGGGCCCTGCAGAGCATTGAATTACACTACCTGTCAGCCAAGGCCAGAGAAAGCTTCACGCTCTCATTGCCTGACGGCAGAAAGGGAGCACACTCTCCTGAGGGAACAGCGTTTTTTCCTGGAATTGGAGTAATTTATCAAACCAGGCCCTGAGTGATGGACATCAGGCAATGCAGTGGAAACTAGCATTACACTTTAATTAAAGATGCAGAAAGCACACGTACACAGGCACTTGCGTATTTATCCTCGTCAAATGGAAAGGCGGAACGTCATCACAACATAAAATGACACATCTTCGGGGAAAAAATCAAATTCAGGCTTTGCTGGTTTTAATGATCTCATTTAATTCCGAGATAAAATTTGAAAACCAGGAAGCAGGTTACACAGAGCTGTCACCCTCCATGTCTCATTTGATCCTTGTGAAAACCCTGTGAGGTGCAGGGGAAAAGGAGGTCATGCTGGACGGTGGGTGGTCCACTCAGGGCCTCAGGCAGGCCATAAAGAATCGAGGGGCAACTGATCCCCGGTGCTCTGACTCCCACCCCCCCCCCCCCCGGCTTCCTAGTGCTTTCACACTCCAGATTCACCCCAGTTGCTCTTCACACAGCTGGAAGCTGCCACCCCAGAAGGGTTGCCATTTTCTGGGTTTCGAACCTCAGCTCTGCTGTTCACTAACTACCGCCTTGGGTTCTCTGTGCTTCAATTGTCCTACATAAAATGAGCTCATTAAAGGTTCATAATTCTTATGGACAGTGCGGGAAATGAAATGATGTCATGCCTTGCCTCACCAGAAAAAACTTGATAAACTCAACAAGAAATTGTCACTGTCATGATGATTGGAGTGCAATGAGAGGGTACAGTTTCTGTATAACCACAGGAGGTGAAGTTCATTATGCCTGAATAGAAGACCATCCCACTAATACGGAGCTGCCAGCAGGTGGCAACAACATTTCATTGCAGATTGAATGAATGACAGGCAGAACTCTCAAATCTGAACACCTTAAGTCAGGGGTGTCAAACTCATTTTCACTGGGGCCACATCAGCCTGTGGATACTTTCAAAGGGCCGAATGTAACTTTAGGACTGTGTAAATGTAACTACTCTTTAAACAGGGGCAAGGGTAGAAACAAGGTGCCAGGCCGGATAAAACAAGGTGGAGGGCTGGAATCGGCCAACAGGCCTTGTATTTGCCTCCTATGCCTTAAGTGAAAAAGAATTCTTTAATATTAAAATATTAGTGCAGGAGTTAACGTCTGATGGTCCGTCCCATCACTCCCTGGTGGATGGACTCATTTAAAAACTGCTTCAGAATAAACTATGTGGGACTATTAACAGGTGGGTTATTTTTTATAAAATCTTATCAAATATGAATGTCCCAAATAATAACCAGATATTGGCAACATCTGGAGTTGTTCTTATTAAAAAAAGTGAGGTACTATCACCATATAAAATTAGAAAATAAAAAGTTTATTTTTAAAAATTACCCTAAGATAAATATTAGTGGCATTTTACTACATTTCTTCATAGAATTTTATCTTTGCATATTTTTTAGTATTAAAGATCATGCTGTATATACAATTTACATTTCTCTTCTTCACAAAGCATACATGTATTTTTTTCACTAATCATTTGCTTATAACATGAGTCCTTTATCTGCATAATGTTAAGTCTGTATATTATATACAAGAGATTTATTAAAAGAAACATTAGAGACAGTAATGAAAATTACAACAAATCTGTTCATTCACAGAGGGTTCCACAGTTTTTAAAGGACTATCACGTCAGTTATCTCGTGTTCCCTTCTACAATGATGGTGGTTGGCAAAATAAATATTATTCTCACTTTATAGTTAAAACATGAAAGTATTGGGTCATGTTATTATTGTACATATCCCTTCCGGCCTGGGCAAGTAGACACTGTCTGGGAGTTTTTTCTCACTGAAAAGGTGAAACCCAAATGTGCCCACCTTAATCCCAGAGCCCTCAAAGGGCCTGAGGTGCTTTCAGTGTGCACGAGGTACTGTGTAAATACAGCTTCACTGTTATTTTCTGTATCATTGTCATTGTTATATAAAGTGACGACACTGTACTGTTGTGGGAGAAACTGCCTTAAATAATTAACCAAATTAGTAGAACGTACACACAGTTCCAAAACACTACCACCTATATTTTCCCTGCAAGTAAAACTTCTGGTGAGAGGAAGGACCCCCAGACCCCGGTTTCTCACCTCCTCCACGGTGGGGGGCTACGAGGGTGGCCATACCCGAGGGAGAGCCGCTTAGCTTTTCTGGCCAAGTGTCTAATGAAACATTTGAAATATGCAGAAAAGCACAAAATAAATTTTAAAATAATTACTATTTTAAATTACCCGCATAGCCATTGCTGGATGAAAGTACATGTTAAAATAAATATTCGCCGTGGTTACCGTGCTACCCCTTTTCATAGAAGAAATGCGATATTACAGATAAAACCAGAAGCCCTTCTGATCACTTCACCACTGTCCCCCAAGTAACAAATGGAGGTTTTTGTCTCTATTACGTATGTATATCCCCGCAAACAAGTATTCTACCGATCCATATATTAATTTTCATACATGTTGCTCCATACTCTAAGCATCCTTTAGAAGCTTGATTTTCACTTAACATCATCTCCGTTTACATCTCTCATGTAAAGCGATAGATTTGTGGTAACTCTTATGCAGCATTTCCTTGTGAGTATGAGCCATCTCTAAAGTTGCCCGTGGCCCTACGAGTGCAGGGTTGGTTTACGTTACTTTACTTGCTGATGTAACAGTTCTGAGGAAGTTACCCTTGCACCTGTCTCCTGGCACCTGTAGGGAAAAGTACGTCTGGCCTGGACACCAGGAGTTGAAGCTGCTGCATTGTGGGGTATTCATGTGTTTAACATCGCTACATAGGGCTGGACACTCACCGATTGTTTTCTTTATAGCTTGTTTTTAGTGTCAAATTTAAGAAATTCTTCCTGCCCTGAAATCATCCTCAGTATCTCCGCCTTCTTCTTGAACAGCTTTAAAGAGTTTGGAAAACATTAACTTCTCTCATTCCACTCATCATAAATGTCTTCTACATCATCTACATTTTATCTCCCTCTTACTTCACAACTTTTCAAATTAGTCATTTTAAGAAAGTCATTGCCTATTTAGATATACTTGCGTGTTTATTAGTCTCTTCATCACCATTGGTTTTTGGTGGTGTTATTGTTTCATCTCCCTCTCCCTCCTTTTGGACTTAGTGTTCTCATTCCTGTCGTATGTCTTTACATCTTTCTTTCAGCAGGAGTAGTGAATTCTACAATCTTTGTCTGAAAATAAAAGATTTACCCTTGCTCTTGAATTATAGTTTAGTTGCGTATAGAAGCCTACATTAATAGTATTATTTCCATAAGCATTTTAAAGATATGGTTTCATTACTCATGACTTCTAATGTTGAGAATTCCATCACAGTGCAATTTAGTGGGTCTCCACCTGGGGCAGTATTGCCCTCCAGGGGCATTTGGCAATGTCAGGAAGCATTTTTCATTGTCCAGTTGGGGGAAGGGCACCACCAGCATGGAGTGGATAGAGTCCAGGTATACTGCCAACTATGCTACAGTACGTGGGACAAACACCCACAGCAAGGAACTGTGTGGTCCCAAATATTCGTACTGCTGAGTCTGAGAAACTCCCGTTGAATTGTTGTTCCTCTATAAGCAGTGTCTTTTCCCTCCCGTTATAATTTGTCTTTGTCGTTTTGGTGTTTCCCTGTGATACGACAAGTGTATTTATCATTGTTCATCACGTTCAGGCCTCACTGCACTTCTCACACCTGAGATGTGACACCTTTCACCAATTTTAAAATATTCTCATCCATTTTCACATCAAATATTCCCTCTGCTTTCTCTTTTCTCTCTTTCTGTCTAACTGGATCTTATGTTGGACCTTGTATTTCTATTTTCCGTACGCATTAACCTGTCACATTCTCCATCTCTTTCTAAGCTGCGTTGCACTTGGGTAATTTCCTCACAGATTTTTCTAGTTCACAGATGTTTCTTTCTGTGATCTGAAGTCTGGTTTTGAGTGTGTCCATGAGTATTCAAAAATTTTTATTTTCTGTACTTTTAGAATTTCTATTCATTTATTTTTCAAGTACTTTTACATAACCTTTTCTTTTTAAGTAAGATTTTGAGTCTCTCTTTTAGTCCTTATTTCAACATATTTATTCCATATTATTATGAAAAATACTTGTTTTTATGAAAAACAAATACTTTTACTTTTTGTATTATTTTACATTATATAAAATATGTTATTTTATATAATATGTTATATTATATAGAATATTATATTATTATTTTTTAGGTTTTATACCCATTTTCTATTATCTTAATTTATTGGTGCCCTAATCTTGCTGTCTGGTCTCTCTGCTGAGCAATTCATAATGGAAAATACGCTTGTATATGTTTTATTATTTCAGATTGTGTCCTTATACTCTGCAGGGTTTGTTTTATTTATGATAGTCCCTTATGGCCTGTGTATGAGTTATTTTTTCTAGCAGGAGGCCTAAGAGTATCACCAACCAACAACCTAATTTCACATTTATTTATCAGTTTGAAGACTCACAAAGTGAGTAGTATAAATCCCACCCTCAAATCCATATGAGGTGGGGCCTGGGGACTGCCACCTGAACAGGGACTTTTGTTTTTCCACCCAGAGCACCAGCAAGCACAGAGACCTCACTTGTCACCTCACTGGGCCTCTAGGCAGACTTTCCCCAGTGAGCAGCTTTGCAGCAATTCATGCCAGAGACTTAGCTGCGCTCCATCTCAACTCCAAGCCTGTACTTCCTCTCCTCTCTTCTCTTCTGCGTCTGATCCAAGTGCCAGCACAGCATTCTTTCACAGCTCAGTCGTGCATTTGAAATCATTTTTCTTCTATGT